TGTGTAGTCTGTAGAAATCGAGATTGCATCACATCAAGCAGCAGGGACTGAGATGCAAAGCACCCTGGGAATCCAGGAAGTTGATGAATGTTATGGGCAGCATGGAAGGCAGCACTCACTACATAAAAGGGATTTTTTTCCAAGTAAGCTTTGTTTGCATTATCAAAAACAAGTCTAAAATGTATTCCTAATGCAGATGTTCTAACAGGATAGTATATACTGTGGGGGGAATTTATCAAAACTGGAATAGACAAAATCTGGAGCAGTTACTAATGGCAACCCATCAGCTTCTATCTTCAGTTTGTTCAGGTAAGATTTAAAAACAACAGAGAGAAGCTGATGGGTTGCCATGCACAGCTGCACCAGATTATGTCTGCTCCAGTTTCGATAAATTCCCTTCTGTGTCTTTACAACTCCTTTCTGACTGTTTGACCAGCTTGCAGCAAAGTAAAAAGCTTAATCCTGCCTGGCCACACAGACACAAATTGGCCTCATTTTTGTGAAGGGTTAAATGCGTGTCCACACCGATGTATAAGAAGTTGTCAATCCAGGATGCATTGGCTGCAGGTGAATGGTATGTCGTCCTGAATTGCAGGTGTATGATCTTCAATCCCTGAGACCACCTCTTCAACCTTCTCACATTAGACAGAGCTCATGTGTATTAGCAAGGGGAAACGAGTCAAGCGGCTCCAGGTCAATAATAAAATTCAAGAGATCTTGTGATCCCTTTCAGATAGTGCTTTGGTTTCTAACACAAAATAACCTGGATGTGTTTTGTGCTTCTGCTAATTATTTGTGGCAGAGCGGATTTTTTTATGTTTGTCAAAGTTATCTGCAGTCACTCCTGTGTGTGTAGGTATGTATGTATGTTGCATAACTGATTACATCCAGTTTAAATTTTGCAGAGTAAGACAGCAGCTTACTGGTACCGGTATTTTTTTTGCTTTCTGACATTTTTATGGGCTCCCTGTTGCATCTGGGCACTGGCTACACGCTCTCTGCAGCATCAACTGACGTCAGATACATAAGGCTCATGATTGGAGGAAACCTGTTAGCTTGTCTCTGCGATCGGAAGTTTCACTCATGAGGCTAGTTTGCAGAGGTATCAGCAGTTTCGCAACCGCGGTTCTCCTCTCGGCCCCCCATGTATAAGACGCCCCTCCATTTTTAGGTAAATATTTCTGAGAAAAAGTATAGTCTCATACGCGGAAAAATACAGTAATCGACGCAGAAGCTCTAGATAACAATGAGCAATAACAACAAGCAAGTGTTGAGAAGCAGCAAGCTTTGGTTGCAAGAAACTTCCAGCATGCTGCAAACAGTCCAAGATTGTGGTTCTGTCATTGCTCGGGTGTTATACTGTTTGCTAGTTGGGTTTTATCACATTATTTTCCATTTCGTTTAGAATTGTTTGAGCTATGTAAATCTGTAGTGAATCTGAATGTGTTAAACTGACAATATTCATGTATTTTTAACACCACTGTTTCTGCACCTTTTTTTTTTGTGGCATACGTTGCATGTAAATGAAGAGAATAAATATATGAGGATACCATATATGTGCTCTCTTCATGATCATTGATTTGGTTCATGATCCCATGTCTATGAGGGAAGACAGTAGGTTGTTGCATTCACACCTTGCATTTTGGGATGTGCTGTAGTGTAGACAGGCTTAAAGGAGAACTATGGGGTCAGTGTTTTTCCCCATAGTTCTCCTTAGGGTAACGGGAGGACACAAACTAGCGTCCTCCCGTTACCCTAAGCTCCGTATACCGCGAGCTAGAGCTCGCGGTATACTGAGACGCCACAGCCGGAGCGGATCCCGACTTAGATGACGGGATCCGCCCAGCTGCGTGAGTGACAGCTGGCTCTGCCTATCTAGAGGCAGAGCCAGCAGTACCCGCCCCCTTCCCCGTCCGTTCCGCCAGTCAGCGCTGGCAGATCGGAGCGGGGAGAGGGGAATCCAGCCCCTCCCCCTGTCACGGCAGAGAGCCGTGACAGGATCGAGAGGTCAGCGAACCCGGTATGTGTTCACTCACCTCCTGATCTACTGAGCCGACCTGTGACAGTCTCATTGTCACAGGTCGGCTAGAACTATGAGGTGAGTGGAAATCACTCATCTCATAGTTCTTCTTTAAGTTTTTTTACTTTTCCAAAAGCCTCCGTTCACACCTCTGCGATGCAACATCACCGGTGCGTTGTGGTAGGCAGCCCATTGTGGTAGGCAGCCCCGGAAACGCGTAAACGAAGGAGTCCTGTGCTGGTACACAGGTGACTGTGCAGCCTATTATAGATGTCGACCTTGCTTGGCTTGAAAGCTTTTACTCTGATTCACTATTGTGAGTATATTTTTATCCTGTATTGCTGCTTTTATCATTAAAAATAATCTACACTAGTGTGGGCGCCCTTCTCTTTTGTTCTTTCCCATAGTGCAGCTAAATTACACTTAGAGAAATGCATGACCCTTTTTTTAAAACTGCATTGCAGCAGAATGCATGGTAATCAGTTACCATGCGGTGTGGTGAGATGCAATGCACTTGCGATAGCTAGTTGCGTTGGGGTGCCATTAACCATTTCAAGACACAGGATGGGATAATCCTATCATGAAGTCTGAAGAGGTTAAACAGAGTCTGTTCAGATTTGTAGAGCCGGCGGCCGGCTTTACAGCAGAAGCGATTCTGTCGGCTCAGCTGCCGCCAGATTGCTTCTTCGATCTGGTATTGCATCACTTCTGGTACCATAGCTGTTGATGCTGGGCTCCTGAAGCCAAGCAATGAGCTATTGAAGTGCAATCTGCAATAGCTTATTTCAAGTGTAAAGGTGACACTAGGGGTCTTTTGGACCCCCAGCATCACCTTAAAGCATACATATCACTGCAAATATGCTATCACATGGGGGACTTGCAAGCCCCCCTATGTGATATCAATTAAAGTAAAGTTTTAAAAAAAAAGTAAAAAAAAAAAAAATTTTAACGTCCCCCGCGAGCTCGCGCTTCATCACGTGTCGGGTGTGCCTACGTACGAAAACGACGATTGTGCTACACATGTTGGGTATCACTGCGCATGCCATAGTGAGAGCAATAATTCTAGGCCAATATTTACACGCATCTCTTAACGGATGACCTGTAGGGGCTTTTAAAGCATATGGACTTTTTGGGGTACTGAATTCTGTCTCAGTTTCACGGACGCACACAATTTTTAACCTGGGAATGTTGGATATCTATTCACTCATTGTAACCTCCAAAAAAGTAGTTTTATATAGTTTTTTGGGGTACTAAATTTAACTTTAGTGCTTTTTCACAACATTTTGGGGCTTGATAATACGTTGTGCTAATGTCGTGCAACATAAAAATTTGCAATTTCCGCCAACTTTCAAGCAATGTTATTGCCCTTCGCAAGCTACCTCCTGTGAACTACAAAACACCTCCACCTATGTTATGGAGATGAGGAGGGAAGGTGTTTCTATTCCAAATCAGAAGAACAACCTAGGCTGACAACTCTGTTGCTTGGAAGATGCAATACAGTGTGTGAACATTGTCACCTAGGACAGGAAGTGTGTTATGGTTAGGATCAGCAGGTGGAAATTCAAGGAAAGAAGCCTGAAAAAAGAAAACGAAAGCAGCCATCACATCTGAAGACTGGAAATCTGCAATATATTCCATTTCTTTTCTTTGATACAAATTGAGAGGCTTGACTTCAGGTAGCAAATGCACCTAATAAGACCCATTCACACCTATGTCTTTGGGTGTGATTAGGGATTCCTGCAGCAGGAATTCCTAATCTGCCATGTATAAGCGGCAGCTTTTACCCATTTAATCCCATACGTTTACATGCATTGTACTGGCATTCAAATGCAGTGGCTGTCACCCGATCATTACCATGAGGGCCTGTTCACGAGTTTCAGGTCCGGATCAGGTGGGGATCTGCAGACGTGGTGCTGTGTGTTTTGCTGCGTTTTTGATGCGTTCCAGTGGGAGTGGGCTGTCAGTATGTTAGCTGCAGTGCGTTTTTGCCGCGTTTTGCGTTTCCGGACCGTTTCCTGACCGTACAAAATGTGACATGCAGTATTTTTTCTGTCGTAACCTGAACGGACTGCGCACGTGAGAACTAGCCAACTAGCCCATAAAACACATAGGGATGCATTTTTAGTACAGGAGCGAACGGATCAGGTCAGCACAGAAAACGGACGTCGTGTGAACAGGCCCTAAATGGGTGACAGCTGGCACTTGTGAACAGCAGATTAGGAATTCCTGCTGCAGGAAAACGCAAGTTCCTGATGCAGGAATCCCTAATTGCACCTTAATATATAGTTGTGAATGGAGCCTTAAAAGACATTTGTATAAGTGAAGGAAAGGCACAAGCTACTTTTACCTCCCCCAAACCCCCAGTTACAGATTTCCAAGTGCCTTTTTCAGCTGAACTTCAAATCTAAGTCCTGTACTTCCATGAAACATCGTGGTCTATGTATAGCCCTAGCACTACTGTTTGCAGAGCGACTGTTTGTCCAATACTAATCCTATGAATTGTTTTTAAGCCCACTGATAATGGGGAATCAACAGATGCACAACAATGAGGTAAACTGGCAGTGACTGAAGTCTGCCCATTACAGGACAAAGAGACCAGAGTGCAGAGCTGTTACGCAAAAAGCCAGTTTGTCACTGAACGTGTTAAAGTGGCCATGCAGTGCTTGATCCTTGTTTAATGTTTCACTGCAGAGAAAACCTGTGACATTATTAATCAGTTGGATTTTAAGGATTCCGTTGTTGAAATGAACCAGCGCAACGTGAGCGCGCGATGAGGTTTTGTGTGTTTTCCTTGGCCTCAGGTTTGTCTGGGAGGTTAACAGACATTCTTAAACTCGACAAAGAATAATTTTTTTCTCCCTCAGCCTTCCTTCCTCCTATATTCTTGCTCTTTTTTTTTTTTTTTTTTTTCCTTTCCCATGCTGTTTCCATCTTGGATCATTAATACACAAATCTTTCTCGCATGTGTTTTGATTTTCAGAGTCTGAAGTCGGATGAAGAAGCAGAAATAGTGAAGGAGCCTGAGATTGAGAACTTTGAAGCAGAAGGTAAAGACTGGAATAAAACTAAGTTTAGAAAAGGTCTCCATAGCGTTGGCTTTACAGTAATGATAAATCCTTTCATGTTAACATTTCAGATTAGGCCTCTTCAGGAATGCGTTCCACTCTGCTAGTCTAATGACTAAACTCCGTCTCACATTTTATTGTTCCTGGCAAGATTTAGTCTACTAGTAGAGGTTAGCGAATTGTTCTGCAGATTCAATTATTTGTTACTTTCAAGGAAGTCTAGCTTGCATGATAATTCTGAATAACTACATGCTAGTTCCCTGATCTGAAGAGAACTGTACACTGGCAAGTGGGATGTATGAATTGCAGGGTGTGAACAGGGCAGGTAGGCATTCTCGTAAACCTTGGAGGAATCGGAGAAGCCTGCTTGGTCTGAAAGTGTCTTTTTAGTGCCCTCATGTCTTTGTGCTAGTGTGTATAGTGTGCAGAGGAGATCTCCAATCAGTATCAAAATGGTCAATTAATATAGAACTGATGTGTTTAGATGAAGCACTAGGGTCTTGAGGAATGTTGAATTAAGTGCTTCTTGTTTAGAAGAACATTACATGTATGTATACAGCATTGTGAATGAAACGTAGAGAGAAAATAACTTCCTGTGTATCATAGATAAGCATGCACATAGAGACTAACATTGCACTACAGCGCCATCTATAGCTCAAAAAACAAATTACAGTCAGTAATACAATCAGTATATAAAGAATAGTGATAATAAAGGGCTTGTATGGGGTACAATGAGCTCTACCAACGTATATTTTCCATTGCAAAATAATTTGGAAAAGATGAAAAATCTAGTCACATGGCTGCATTTATTTTATTATTTTGTTAGTGAGTTTTCCCACATAATCTATAGTTTTTAGTTACTGCATATTAGAACTATTGGAGCACTAGCCTGTATATACTTCTTCATTAACAAGCTATTTTTCAGTTTTTGTTTCTGCGATAGCTTTTCTGATGATTACTGAATCATCAAGCACTTTAGCCAAATATATTTTTGGGTGGCCACATATAGCTTTCATTTGGTATTTATTAACTGCTGGGTTTTTTCTTTTACTATAGAGTGTGATAAATCAAATAAAATGCCAGGGCAATACAATCACCTCCAAACTAACCCCTTTTTGGAAAGTAGACTCCCCAAGGTGATCTAAGTTTTTGGAAATGAATAAACATGCTGGTATTGAGATGGTTAAAACATGAAAGGTGGTGATGGTGCACTAGATACAGTGCACCAATAAGGTACAAAGGTAGGAGGAGATGAATGGATTAATTTACAGGTCACATAAAGTGGAATGATGGAGATGAGGGGGTACATTTGCAGGATAAGGGAGGTAAAGGTGTTAATATACCTGTCACTGCAGAGACCGGATAGAGTGGAGTTGCTCAGGAGGGGAGTGAGGGTTAAAGGGTTAAGAAAAATTCCCTCAATCACTGATGGCGTTTACATTTGTGATCACTGTTATTGGCCATTCCTGCAGTCATAGGGCACTTAGGCTCTCTGATTGGCTCTCTGAAATTTGCTTGGGATGTATGCTGTCTAATGATAATGACATTGTGCATTCTCAACTTTTTTAAATAGCGCTTCAGAAATCCATGTCCATATATGGGAATTTTGTAACATACCAGTGTTAAATAGTAAGGTGGTTGATCTATAATACAGTTGTGCACATACTTTGGCAGAATTTGTAAGAAGTGGATCATTGTTTTAAGAAATCCTGGGTGATCAGACCAAATCAGATTCAAATAAACTATTAGGCATCACAGAATAGCACAATCAGTAGGCAAACTATAGCAATAAAGGAAAGCAATATAATGGGCCTCCCTTTATCATCAATTATGTTGTGCAGTCTTCTTTTGTAATAGTTGTGAATCAGGCCCTATATTTTCTTACATGGTAAAGCTGCCCATTCATTTTGGCAAAAAGCCTCAAGGTCCTGTATATCCTTCAGTCATCGAGCAAAAACTACATGTCTGAGATCACCCCAAAGTCGCTTAATGATGTTGAGATCAAGAGCTTGTGATTTGACACTCCAGAACTTGCCCTTTTGTTCTGCAGCCACTGAAGTGTCCCTTTGATCATGTGCTTGAATAAGTGCCATCCTGGAAACTCCAAGTGCACTCCATGCGCAGCATCCAGGCTGATGAATGCAAATTTTCCTCCCAATAGTTTATGAAAATATGCTGCATTCATCTTGCCATCTGTGTTGACTAAATTCCCTGTGCTGCTGTAGTTTACACCCCCAATACAGCAAAGATTTCCATCCATGCTTCACGGTAGGAATGGTGGTCTTCCCCCTTTTTAGGCCTTGTTAACTACGCTCTAAATATAGCATTTATTATAGTTCAATTTTGATCTCCTCTCTCCAAATTATTTTGTTCCAGAAGTTTTGAGACTTATCTAGGTGCTGTATGCTGTTCTGTGGTGTTAGTGCAGCAAAAATTGCTAACACTCTACAAGTATGTTAAATCTTGAGCAGAACTGTATTTCTTTACACTTATTGTTACAGATTGGGCTATCTTTCTCCAGAGTGGGTCAGGTGATATACTGTATGTATGACTACCCAAAGCAATGTTTCTCTATCTCCCATCTCTCAGGGCAGCTAAGGGCATGGAACACAGGAATATATGACAGTCCAAGAAGAGCTTCTGATATGACTGAAAACCAGGTGCGGGACATCTGGGAGGAGCTCGGTATTGGACACAATGGATACCTCAATCGACAGGAACTTGCCACTGTATGTAAGAATATAGGACTTGAAGATCTCAGCAAAGAGGTATGGGACAAAATAAACAGAAGTGTCACAAATAGCACCCAGGGCTGCTATTTTTTTTCCAAATTCCTATTAGCATTAATAGTCTTCACGCTCTTCTTGTCAACAACATGATTTTGCCCTGCTGTCGCCTAAATTGTTGTAGGTAGGGATGCACCGATACTGGTATTTCAGTATCGAGTACTGCTATTTTTTTTTTCCGGTAATCTTCAATACTGAGTACCGGAGGTCCCATTCAGAAAGCCAGGCGGCGTGTAATGACTCGTCACCTGGCTTCCCGATTAGCAGGGAAGCCGTCTCTATGCTTCTCGTCACTAGGTAACGAGAAAGCATGGAGCTGGCTTTCAGGCCACTCTGGCCACGCTGTGTAATGACGCGGCGCCCGGCTTCCTGATTTGGCCCGGCTTCATGCTCCCTCGTCATGAGGTGACGAGGGAGCATGAAGCCGGCTTCCCGACCAATCAGAAAGCCGGGCGTCGCGTCATTACATGGCGCCTGGCTTCCTGATTGGTCAGAAGCTGCCCAATCAGGAAACCAGGCAGCGTGTAATGACACAAGTGACGAGAGAGCATGGAGCCCGCTTCCCAGCCAATCAGGAAGCCGGGCAGTGTGTAATGACGCGCTGCCCGGCTTCCTGATACTGTAAGTATCGGGCTAGGCATCGGAGCATTTGGGCGAGTACGAGCCCAAATACTCGGCATCGGTGCATCCCTAGTTGTAGGTCTGGAATGTTACTGGTGAAATACTATGGATTTTGCAATTTTTGGGTGTGCCACAGTAACATATTTGACTATGAGTGTTCATGTTCTTCATAATATTAAGAAACTGACCTAAAATCATGATTTTGTATTGCTTTAGAAAAAATGTGACCTGTCCGTTTAAGAAAAAGTATTGGTAATTGGTATCGGCGAGTACTTGAAAAAAGTATCGGTACTCGGCCTTAAAAAAGTGGTATCGGTGCATCCCTACTAGAAAGTCATGCTGACTTTGAACAAGTATAAAGATTTGTAGTTCTGATTTTACTGGTCAGCATTCTGTTTCTAGGTTAGAGTCCTAGAAAGTATTGATTCTACAGTCGGGCAACTAGCATTTTCAGATGGAGGCCAGCAATGGCATTCCCTCCCTACAGGTTTCATTATTTAATTACATGAACCAATACCACTCTACCTTGATCAGTCTGAAATAGAATGAGTGATTCTTGGATGTCGGAGTCTTAACTTTACTAAGAAAATTGGAGAGAATCTGTTGGACCTGTTCAGTAGCTTAGTGTTACTCATTGTACCTTATCTTTGTATTTTAATAGGAACTTGAAGACCTGTTCAACAAGCTGGATAGAGATGCAGATGGCAGAGTAAGCTTTCAAGAGTTTCAATTGGGCTTGTTTAGTCACACTCCTATTGCTTCCACACCACTAAAGCATCGACGTTCATGGGCACTTTACCAGGTGGGCTCATAAATCTCATATTCCGTTAATAAAAACAAACAAACTGTTTTGTATAAATTGCAATGAATTTCAATTACAGTGATGTAAAAGAGGATGCTAAGCCAAAAACATTTTTCTAGTTTTGGATCGAGTGGGGAAGAATTAAATGCCAGTTTTAGCTTTTACTGCAATCTGGGGCTACGTTAGCGAGATTCACACTCCCCTCCTGTCCTGCTGACAACGTTTTATGAAACAGGAAGAGGGAAAATCTGCAACAGGGACATAGACCGAAATACAAATCGGACGTGGTTCTAGTCTTCCACAAATCTACAATAGAAAAACATTTTTATTTCTGTTTGTGTTGCTGTTGGAGTTGCCCTCTCTTCCTGTCTGGTGAAACGTTGTCAACAGGACAGGAAGTGAGGGGAAATCCCTTCAATGGAGCTCTTGGATTGCAGTAAAAGCTTGATGGGTTCTTACCCTTGCCCATAAAACTAAGAAAAAAAGTTTGGCTGAACATACACTTTCAGTACAAATCCACTTGAATATGTGCTTTGCTACACTATATAATACAATTCTTCTAATTATTTCATTGGGTAGGATAAACTGTAGAGCACTGGTTCCTAATTAGTACCTTTTAATGCTACAGATGCTCTTTATTACCTGTTGGGTGCATGAACAAGTGACCTCAGAAAGTTTTAATGCTGTGTTTATTTACTGTTTGCAGAAGAGCTCTGGTCACTGAGTACAAACAGAGCTTTGTAGGATCCACTCCAGTTCTTGTAAGATATTGAGACTGGGTGAATCTTAAAAAAAAGAAAAAAAATGTAAACATTTTTGAGAGAGTGTGTATGTGTGTGAGAATGTCTGTGTGTGAGATTGTGTCTATGATTGTGTGTGTCTGTCAATGTTTTTGAGGGCCCGTTCACACTAGTACAGTGCATTAATCACACAGTCCCGTGCAATTAATGCACTGTATCACCCAATTGCACCTACCACGCATTCTGGTGTGGGAGGTGTGTTGCATTGCCATTTCATTCCCACCTACAGTTCGATCGCCCACACTGGATCGTGCGGTACCGCAATGTGGTGCATTCCATTGCAGTGCGACTTGGGTCATGACTTAATGACCAAGGACAAATGTGGGTCCTGAGGTTACACAGGTTAAGAACCACTGCTTTAGAGTATACTGTACCTGTCTGCGGAGAAGGCAGACATTCACACACTCTACAAGAGATTGTATCTACTTCCAGATATTAAGGTTGATTGATTTGTGTTTTCATTTTAATCTGCAGGCAGAAGACATTAGCCTTAAAACGCCATCCTTGCTGTCTGGATTTGGGGGCCTCCATGTTTTCTCAAGCATTGATGATGGGGCTGGCTTTGGAAACCCAGAACAGATCATGTTCATCTGGGAAGAGGAGGGGGTTGAGGATGGAAAAGAAATACTTCTGGTATGGGACAGAGTTTTTTTTGTTTTATCAGACTGTCATACAGCATATTTACTGCTAAAGAGCACTGATTGTATCCAAACCACAATCTCTAGATTTAGAACTTGTGAATTTACTGTGCACCCATATAGTTGTGTTAAATCTATTACCATATGATAGGCAGTATATAGACAGTTACTGGTTATATAATGCAGTTATTTGCAAAAAGTTGATATTGTTTCTATTAGAATGCTGGGTAATGTAACTGTCCAAAATGTAATAATTCAGTGATATTGTGCCTTCAATAAAAGCATATGCACTATTGTGTAGAACTTAAATGATACATTGTTTGAATGTGTGTAATGATTTTGGACTAGGAAATTAAATTATAAGACAGTTAAAATATATTCCTTCATCGTTCATAATGGGACCCGAGGTCAGTATTCAGACGTATAGGTTCAATGCACTTGCCTACAGGAGGTGGACATTGGTTTTGCTTGTTGCACTTTCAGGACTTTGTCCCATGCTAGTTAGCCGCAAAGAGATTTTCATGTCCAGAGCCGTGACCCTACTGTGTCCTGTCCTAATTCCTGAGTGTGACTATGCAGGAGGCAAAGATGCCTTGGTATGAACCTACATTTCATTTTTCTGCTATGGCACTTTACAAGCACCTGCAAAATTCCATACAGGTGCAGAGCAGTGACTATTCCCAGTCTTTGACATCTTATTTTCACTGGGTGGTTTCCCTAGACTGTGTGTTCTGTTAGATACTGACAGTTTCATTGCTCTGGCATATGAAAACTGCCTGTTAGCGCCTTCCTGGCTACCACTGAACGTATTATTGGCACAGAGCAGTGACGCTTCTCCAGTGCGTCTAGTCTCAGTGCCCTTACAGTATTAATGCGTGGTTTAACTTTAGGGAGTTCTCTATTCCATCAGTGGTGGATAGAGTTGTTGTGTGGATGGCTTCATCGATATTGCTCCTCTGCTTTCCAAAAATGAGTGTTTTCTGTGAATATGTGGATAACTCTTTGGATGAAATGTTGGTCTGCGCAACAGGCATGTAAAAAAGGTTTGCTTTGCATTCCTTTTCATGGACAGCGTTCTTGACGTTCCTTTCGATAAGTTCATGAGGGATGCCATTGCAGGTAAAAGTACAAATTTACTCCAGCAAAAGAAGCGTTCCTTTCATTTCTCTCAAGCTATAAATACCAAACTAAAACCAGGGACCCAATTCATTCGTCAGATTTAGGCCCCAAAATCCAAGCCTAAAGTGGGGGTGGGGGTGGAAGTGGGTGTCTGTTAACTTTTGCAATGTATATCAGAAATGTCACCAGCACACCAGTGGATAGTATTCAAAAATAAGGTGTCTTTTATTCACGCATATTTGTTGCAACCTTTCGGGGCCACGCAGGGCCAATCATGTTAAGCCTGATGAATGGGACCCTGCGCATCCCCAAAAGTTGCAATTTTTGATGTGACAAATATGCGTGAATAAAAGACACTTTATTTTTGAACACTATCCACTGGTGTGCTAGTGACATTTGTGATATACATTGTGAAGTGTAGCACTATCCGCAGCCGCTTCAGCACCCATCTTTCAGCACAGGGGGCATTCGGTAAGGAGTGTGACAGTTGCCTACAGTTATGTTAACATTTACAGACACCTCAGCCACAAGCACCTCAGATGCACAAGAAAAGATTGTAATGCTCTGGGGTTAGAAGCTGGTGTTTCCCTCTTTTCCTCTGCCCCATTTCATGTTGTTCAACCTGCCTGTGTGTCAGAAAGGTCAAGCCAGTCCACATAGCAGGAGGTCTGCGTGAGCACCTGTGTATAGCTCTTGTCAGAGAGTGTGTGTGCGTAACGTGCATGCTCATTGGTCTCCTAAAAGCTCGAAACAAACTTTTAGGAGACCTGCAAGACTCCAGTGCTGAGAGATGCTCCGCATTACTCTGTGGCCTGTGACTCTGCACCTGATTCTGGTCTTCTGATACCAACTGGATGTGTTTCTTAGCTGTTCTGTGGCTGTCCTTGGTTTGTGCATCCTCTCCTTTGTTTTCCGATTACAGTTTCCCTCTTCCACTTTGTACTACACTGCCCTAAGTTGCTGCTCCTGACTTGTCCCTGCACTCCTCTTGCCAGTGATCTGCATTTCCTTTCACCTCCAGCCATGAGACGACAGCTCTCACAAGTTCCAGTGAGATCAGTGGCATCGTCCACTGGTACTCCTGCCACTCCTTTATTCGTATGCTCTCTCTGTCACTGAGCTTTGTTATTTGGGCCTGTTGTTATATTCCTTTTGCCCACCCCTCAATTGTGGACTGGTTTTGGTTGTCCCATACATCTCTGCATGCTGATCCTGCATCCCTTAATGAATGATAAAGAAAATGTTATTTTTGTACTTACTGTAATATCCATTGTTGGAGTTCAGTAAGCTTCTATTTACTGCTTTTATACAAAACTAAAGCATTTTTTTGTTTGCCAGTTTCTGCCACCGCAGCTGCATATAATCCACACGTCTCTGAATACTGATCCTGTGTCCTCTAAAGCCACACTCTGGGCAAAATGATAATTTACTAGCAGCACTCAGTTTCATTAATCATTAACGTTATCATTAAAAAGCTGGGTGTTGTGTGGAGGAATGCTGCAAAGTATAAAAATCTTACCTTGCAGCACGCCAACCCCTGCACACAACGCCCAGCTCAAAGGGTTACTAATGGCTTGATGTTTTTTACCTTAATGCATTCTCTGCATCAAGGCAGAAAACACCCCCCTACACACACACACACACACACACACACACACACACACACACACACACACACACACACACTGTGGCCACATATATACTCCGGCGCAACTAGGAAGATACTCTGCTTTCCCCAAACTTCCTGGTTGTGGGGAAAGGTACTGAGGGCAAAGGAGCCATAGGCTCTTTCTGCCGTCAGTCAGACTGTGAGTGCAAGAGTGGGGGTGCGGCTGGCCGCACGCTGTGTGTATCTATAGATGCACACAGCTAGGTGCGGGCACGGCCTTGAGCGTGCATGCACGGGTGCCTCCAGAGCAGCCAGCTAGCTGATAGAGGCACCTGTACGGGGAAAGGGGAGGTTAGCAGTTGGAATACCACTAGAGAACGTTGGAATGAAAAATTGTAAGAATAAAAAATGGTGTGAGTTAAAGTAAGTCTGGGCCCCCAAAAACAGAAAAAGTAAAAAAAACCCGGAAGGTTTCATATCACTTTAAAGGCACTGAAGAGAGGGAGCTGTACAGTGCTCTGGTTGCATCTTATGCCCTTCTTCATCATCTCTTTTTTTTTTTTTTTATAAACAATACAAAACTTTATGTGATTGGAGGAGGAGAGATTATGTCACATCCCCATCCCCTTTCTATCCTTCTCCAAACACAGATTTTCTTGTATTTTTCTTTTTTTTTAAATACAAGACATTTTCTGAATGGAAGATAGTGAAGAGGGGTGGGTGATGCTACCATAGTGCTGTACAGCTCATGTCACATCTTTCCCTCTCAGTGCCCAGAAGCTGAGACACACCCATGCTTTTTAATGATGGTTTGCACACCCGGTGTAGTGTGTAAATTGTCTTTTTGCCCAGAATGTGGCTTTAATGAAGTCCATGAACTCCTAGAAACAACTTCCTTACTGTTGTATAACTAGAATTCGTTATTATATTGTCAAATTGCTCAACTCTTTCTTGTTGTGTCTGTGATTGTTTTGGATTGAAGTGGGGCTTTACTGCAAACTTCCCATTAGTGTTTTTGTGGCTAGAATTTAGATAATGGGTCTCTTTACCTGTTCACTTTATGCAAGCTGTGTTAAGTAATTGTACTCCACCAATCAAACGTTTTAGAACACCCTTTTTTTCTAGTATTTATTGAAATGTATGCAGTCTAATGTCTCCATTGGCTCTGAAATAAAACGAAAGAACAAATAAAAAATGGAGATAAAATTTAAATCATGGAATCTCTTTATTTTACAAATTTAATCTATATTTTTTTACACCTCAAAGTAGCCACCTTTTGCAGATATAACAGTCGAACACACTTGTGGTATTCTTTCTAAGGCAATGTAAATAATGCTTAGAAAGTTCTTCCCAATAGTGTTGCGGAAGTTCCCACAAATGTATTGCACTTGTAGGTTGCTTTCCTTACACCTTTCTGTAGAGTTTATCCAAAGCCAGCTTGGTGTGGTTTATGTCTGTACAGTTTCACATTAATCAATTTGAACTGGGGCTTAAACTGCTTAAATTTCAATACAAATCTAAAACGCTCCGTGATCCAAACTTTTGACTGGAAACTTGTATACTATGATTAAAGATTGGTTTTCTCATTGCAGGTTCTCATTGCAGGGCAATATATTGTATCTACTTTACTTGTTTTTTATTCCCAGCCACACATCTTGTAGAAATTACAGAGGATTCTTGCTTGCTTATTTATAAGTTTATACCAGGATAAAAAAAAGAACATTTATTTTTTTAGGGTTTAAATACACTTTAGGGGAAAAAAATGTTCACAGCTGATTTTTGTTTTGAGTGTTACCTATGTTACGGTATACTTAAAAAATGTTTTTGCCAAATCTATGACAATATTACAGATAATTTGTTCCCTTTACTTAGAGCTTGGATTTTAGTCTGGAGCAGCGAGTGAACCTCATGGAGCTTACTACCGCTTTAGACAATGAGTTGATTGCGACGAAGAGCAGAATTCATTTGGCAGCATTGGCATCTTACAAGCATGAGCTGACCCATCAGCAGTAAGTGACACTACTTTTTCACATATAAAAAAAATTAAACAATATAATGAACCCACAAAACATCACCTTTTAAAAAATATCGATATCTAGATATCATTTTTTGTTTAAATTGTGCTTAAATGTGGTTTGCATAGCATAATCTAATCAGTGTATGTATGTGCTTTAAAATTTTGTATACTTGTACATGAGACAACCATATTTTTTTCTCAACCATGAAGGGGGCACGGGAAATGGTTAACCTTGGGGTTATACTGTTGTGTACAATAGGACTGAACACTGACAAAAAAAAAACTTTTGACCCCTCCTAATACCAGCATGCCTCAGTTTTGTTTCTAGTGTCCTAGGAGAATTAATGTATTTTCTTCAGGGCTGGTGTTGGAAAGACTAACCTGTTATTTTGTTAACCCCCTTTTTTTTTCCAATCAAGACTCTTTACACTGCTGCTGGAAGTTTCCTACCAAACAGCAGCTACCTGGTGTGTTCATCCCTTGCCTGATTTTGGAGTACTGCATTCAGTCCCCCACTTGACTGGACATTGCAGGACTAGCTTGGAAATCCTCTTCGGGCTCTTTCCAGATTCAGGTCTCGTAAAAGTTTGCTGTGGAGCACTTTTAAGGATCTGAGCTGCTGGCATTGCCTAAGCTCTTGTCTCTGAACACTCAGTGAGCAGGCCAGTCGGGCTGAGCATCGGGAGCTACTCATTTTCATGGGTTGCATTATTTTCCATTCCATTCTGTTTTTGCCATGGAAGGGTTTAACATTTTGGTATTGAGAGCTGACTTCATCCACTGTGTGTAGTGTTGCGCTCACACTCCGAGCTCTTTCCTACCATACCGCATCAAGGAAGCATCTCCCCACTGCTGTTCCTGTTTACAAAGAATCAGATAGAACTCTGATTTTTGATTAATTCCTGTTGTTTGCCTACAGTTATTTTGGTCAACTCTGGCCATCTGACCCTCCTGTCATCGAACCTCACCTGCTACTAGCTGTCCATGTTTACTTATTACTTGTGACCTTCCCTCTTACTCTGTGCCCACTTGTTGCCCTACGGCACTGTGGGTGCAACATGTCTGATTCCAGACAAGGGGGTGACAGTCGTACTATATTAAGTTCCCCAGCTTACTTTTTACTGCTGGCTCCAGGGCTGCTTGAAGTGTGCCTACTGATGGTGCCAATGTGTGTAGCCTTGAGTAATGTTACCCTTTGCTGTTGGAGTCTTTCCCATCCTCCGAGTCCTCATTTGATGTGGCTGGATTTTTACCATAGTCATACAGGACTTTAATACTCAAATTACCTAGTAGTGAGGAAACAATTAAACATATCTTTTGGGATTGTTCAAAGATCACCTTATTCTGGCACAGAGTAGCTGATTTGATACAATTGCTGAAATTGATCTGGATTTTGATCCGTCAGTATTCCTCCTCCACCTTGCGCCGCTCTCGAGGAAACCGTATAAGTGCTCCCTACTGATACACTTAGTGAATGCGGCCAGGGCGTGTGTCCCTGCCATGTGGAAGAACCCTACCGACCCCCCTTGGTGGCAATGTGGCTGCGGAAGGTGGAGGAGATTGAATTGATGGAGGATCTTACCTCATTCCTGCGTGATACTCGGGAACAATATGTATCCACCTGGGAGGCCTGGATTCGGTTTTCAGGACTCGGAGGCTTATGCTCGGCTTGACTACATTGGACATAGTGGGGGGCAGCGCTAATTTCTAACCACTGGCTTTGATTTGAGTCCCCTCCCCACATGTGAGGTATGTTGAAGTCCACTGAGGGACACATTTGTGTGTTTGATCATGCTCTCAGTTCTGCTTTTTTTTTTGTTTTGTTTGCCAATGTCCATTCTGGCAGCAATCGAACCTAAAGATTAAAAACGTCTTAAATCTCTCAATAGTTTCTAAGAAAATGATTTTACAGGGAGTACGAACATCCTAATTTTCTCCCTACAAGTGATGGGTAGAAATAAATACTTCAATGTAGTGTAGGTCAGGAACCACTGAAACCATGACTCCAACTGTATGCAGTTTATGATTTTTCTAAAAGTGTTCACTATGAAACCCCAGCAGTGCATGCCACAGTGCAATGTGGGGCCTGTATAACCTATAGAAAGTGCCTTGCATTCCATTCTAGGATGTGCACCCTCGTTGCTGCAAGACATTTTCAGTTTTTGAACAACCTGAAGCAACACATTTTTTTTTGTAAGTCACACTGAATAGGAATATGGCCAGGCCTAATCTACAGCAATTTATAAGTGGGACTATCATGGATATATGGATAAACTGAGTTCGGGAGGGTGGGGGCAGTTATTATGGTCTTGCAGTACCACTGCTGATGCACAAAAGAATCATGGTTATCATTTGTAAAGGTATTTATGCATATCTTGCCCAAATCTTGTAAAACCTAGATAAATAATTTAGCTTGGATGTCAAGTCGTTTTTATTTAGCTGATAATTTAACAACTGAGTTTTAGGAATGTGGGAGATTTCCAAGGTTCTGTCATTACATGTTTTACAGCTGTGAAAATTAATAATATGTGCATCCTTCAGGTTTCTCTTGTGGGCTTGGGGTCGTTTCTATTAGTACAGCTAGCTATGTAATTACTATTTGATGTGTTCGAGATTATGAACTATATGTTTTTATGTTTGCAGTATCCAAGCTGAACAGATTAGTAAAGAGCGAGATAAAGCCAAACAGGACCTGGTGAGAGCAGAGAGGAGGAACTCACTGCTGGTTGATGAGGTTGATGACCACAACTCTGCTATGGAGAGTCTCAATGAGAGCAAAATTAAGTGAGTTGGGCTAAGAAGCTAGGGCTTCTGGTTTCATTGTGATACCTTTCTTTAAATCAAGATATATTAATGGAACAGTTGAAGTAATTATATTGCCTAATACAGTAAATGTTTTCCATACCTTTTTTCCCTTTATTTTCACTTGGTGATCGTGCAAATAACGCACATCCTGTTTTTGTGTGTCTACACTAATTTCTCCATTATCTATTGAGGTATGCATAGTTATCACACAGTCTGAACTGTCTTATCTATATTACATGGTTGATTTAAAAAGACTAGTGGTTTTTACAACAAAGATAAGGATGTCTGTGCTTTCTATTTATCTTACTGTATGTGACAAAGATGCCGCTTTTCCGGCAAGATCAACAGATATTTTCTGTACTTGCTGAAAATGTTCTTAGTCTGAAAAATAATGCAGCCAGCACATCTAAGGACTGGTAAGCTGCAATATATACATATTTTTGTGTTTTAGATATGCTTTAAAGCAAACTTGTCCCTTACTTGGGCAAGTCAAGCTAAACATATGTTGTTAAATACAAAAGCAATGGTTAACTTCATGGAAAACTGCATGACAAAAGAATTAGTAAGTTAAGAAATCTAGGCAACCAAATTTATGTACAATCTGAAATTTTCCCCATATAGTTGAGGTTAGCCCTGCACACCCACTTCCTGACTTTTCCTGTTACTAGTTTTAATCTGACAGACCATTCCATTGACTTATAGTTTGGCTTGGAAGATGGGATGAACTGGGGGAAAGCTTAACATTTACAGTAAAGTACACATTTTCAAATTACTAGATTTGCCTGCTCTGGATCTACTGATCATTTTTATTTTATTGAAATTAACTTCCTACTGATTCATTTATTAGCATATATATTAAGTATGAAATGACTAGGTTTGTAATAGCTGTAATACCATTTATTGGTTGCCTAAAAATGAAAATGCTTTTGAAATCTATTCATTTTTTTACCAGGTTTTTGGATAGAATTTTTGCATGTTATCCTTAAAGGTGTTACTTTGAATTCGGTTCAATTTATTTAAATTGATAAAAAAAATAATAGATTTACAGGGCAATTCACAAAAGGGTGAAGAGTTTGGAGAAGGCAGGAGAAGTAAACAATCTAGGCCAAAATAGCTGAACTGGAAAGTGAACTGAATTGAAGAATTTTTCCAAATCACCTATTTTGACCTATATTGTTCACTTCTCCTGACTTCTCCAAACTCTTCACCCTTTTGTGCATAACCCCGTAAATATTTAAATTAATTGAGTTGTCTTATGTGGAATAACTGACATCAATGGACACCCCTATTGGGTAAAAGCTCAGTTGACCATGTTTGAGTTTTTTAGTCTTGTAAAGAGAAAGGCAACACTTGTGGTCAGAACTATATTATATACTTGTGTTTAACAGCAAAAATTGTTTATGTGAGCATATGAACAGAAAATCCATTTCATGAAGAAACAAGAACAATTAAGCTGTGCAAAGTGCAGCAGACTAAAGCATCCTATTCAAAATAATTTCTCAATCTGAAATCTGGTTTCTAGTTGCTACTGTACCCATCCTCATTGCTGTTTGTACCATCTTATTAAAGGAAATTTATACTGACAGAAAAAGTAGGCTTCCATTTGTTGAAATCTACTGGTAATGCAAGTTATTTGACTGAAATACTAATAATTTGGCTTTTTTCTTGTTTTAGATTTCCTTTTTTTATAAGTTCTTGACCAGCAAACTATTCCTAGATATGGCAGCTATTCCTATATTTTACTTTTAAGATACAGTATGTGTACTGTGTATTACTAGCTACCTTGTAGCTGTGTTTGTCCCCGTTAGGTTTTTCTGTATTATTATAAATGAAGCTATTGCTCCTGTAATATAATTGTTTTGTGTTTCATACATTTCTGTTATGTAGGGATTTGGAACAAGAGTACAGACAGCGCTTGTCTTCTATGCGATCAGAGTTGGAGAATGAGAAGGAGCAATTTCTACACCAGACTGACCAGCAAAAGAAAAAGCTGGAGACAGATTTGGCTAATTACCAGGTGGAACAGGCCTATCTCAGACACAAACTGGATTTATCTGTAAAGGCAAGGAAAGCCCATTTCCCACACAACTCAATTCTGTTTCATCTGCCATATTTAGAAATCATGCTATTATAGCACACCTCAATGTAAATACCCTTTTGTACATGCTCCATTCCTTGTGTCATGTGATTATTTCATTTTAGAATGTGATATTGGAGGTAGCTTGCTGTACATGCAGAGCTACATGGTAAGTGTACAAACCACCAAGCTTAAATGAGAAATGGTTGCATTTCCTGAACAATGAAAGCCAACAATCTAAACCCAAAAACAAACATTTGAATTTCTTCAGTGTACATCACAGTACACAGGGATTCAAATCTTCAACAGATGGATAATGCAGCTACCTTCAGCAGCAACAGGTTATTGGATACCAGCAAATCAGACAAAGCTAGAAGTCAGCCCTGTAAAACCCCTCCAATTTTCCTTTCTGTTGCGCACTGTCCTGGCCACAAAGGCTGCACCTGCCTCTGCTCCTGCAACTGTGCACTACCCAGGCAGTCCAGACCTCTGTCATGGCTGCACTGGGTTACTGCTGCTGCCTACTATGTATGCTCACCAGGCTTCCTACTCTTCTGTTGGGAGTACTGGGGTCTCTTCCCCTTGGGCAATGGCAGTTCATAGGCATGGGCGTTAGCCCTTGGGGCTTCACAGACTAATACCAGTTTTGGTAGCCCGCTGTGCTTTTTCTCTGCTGCTCTCACTGGGTCCTCCTCAGCACCCTCCAGGGCACCGTGCTCTACTCTGTCCATAGAGAAATCCATTGCTGTAATAATGATGGTGATAGGGAAAATGTCTGTGTTGTTGGAGTCCCTAGACCACAGGGGGCATAAGTGGGCCCCCTCTCTTTCCTCCATCTGAGCTTCTGTTATCTTCTTGTGCGCTTTCTGAGGAAGACAATACTAAAGAAGGGGCCACTGCCAGTTCTGTGGTTTCAGCCCAGGAAAATAACCTGTCTCCTGTATCATTTTATTTATGTTTTGTGGCTTGTTGCTGCCTCCCTTATTCTGCTGCCTTAGGTAATGGGTTGCAAGTAGGGATACACCGATACCAGTTTTTCAGTATCGAGTTAGAGCACCGATATTTTTGTTTAAGGACAGTTGTACCAAAGGTACAGTGTTTCTTTTTAAAGTCAAGTGTGTTTAAAGTCAAAACTTTTTATTTTCAGTTTTAGAGTGGTGAGGAGTTAGATCCCCTTATAGACTTCTATTGCTCTGCTGGTTCCCGTTAGGTAATTTGTGTTTGTCTTGGTAACCACTGACACTTAGCTGAAAGTAAATCACAATCCATAATTTTGAGTGCCATCAGAACAGAAAGAGAGGGGAAATCTTTCAGTAGGTACACTTGTTGTGCTGACCGCTGTCTAAGAAGGTAATTTCCTCATTAGAGAGAATTATTTTCACTTCCTGTTGTCTAAAAACAGGAGGAGAAGGGAAAATCCCCCAGACACACGGCACAAAAACCTAATGAGGTTTTGACCATTTCCTACTACTGGTATATCCAAAATGAAAAAACATTTTGGCTTTGGATATGCTTTAATTTATTTTTTCCAGCCCGATTTGGCCAACTCTTTTAAGTGAAGTTTAACACATGTTCACAAAAATTAGATTTTTTTTTTTCTGGCTTAAGATTTAATTAACTAGATTATTTTGCTTCAAACCACGTGGATATAGTAGAAACTGTGTTGTGTTGCAGGAGAACAGCAGGTTACAGAAAGAACTGGTGGAGGTTGTGGGAAAGCTATCTGAATCAGAAAGTCAAGTGGTAAAACTGCAGACCAGCCTAGATCAAATTCTGCAAGACAAGGTAATAACCAGAGTACAGTGTTATATGTTAAAAAAAATATACCGAATTCCATATTCCTTATATTAGCGGGGGAACCCAGGAAGTCAGCATGAGAGTTACCCTTACCAGCTCCCTCTCACAAGACTGAGTTTAGGGTCAACAGAACAAGTTTTGGGTGGGTGGTGGTGGGGACATTTGTTCAAAGTGTATTTTTGATGTAATGTTATTGGTAAAAAATAATAATATTTACTAATGTCCTCCGGTGACCCAAAACTCAGAATATAGCGGGCTACTGCCCGCTATATGCTGACAGTGTAAAGTCGCGCTGCGGCCGGGAAAGATCTCGACAATATTGTCAGGATCCACCTCACTGCCTGATTGACAGCTGCCTCTGTCTCTCTAGAGGCAGAACCAGCTGTGCCCGTCCTCCAGTCAGCGCTGGAGGAACAGATAGATGAGGGGGGAATCCCTGTGTGGAGCGGTGACTGATAGTCACGGCTCTCTGCAGGGAGAAGTTTCCAGAATGAGTGATCAGGGGTATGTGATCGCTCAGTTCTCGATCAATAGAGCCAGAGTCAGAGTCACAATACAGCTTCAGAGTCACACCTCAGCTCTAATGATATGGATTAGTGTATTTCACTCTGCCCATAATTCTCCTTTTAAGCATGGATTTGAAGTCATGGACTAATCTTTGGGCACTGTATACTTTAGAAAAGCTGTATCTGCTATGTATGTACCCTTGATACTTTGCATTATTGCAGTTTTAAACACTCTGCCTATTTTACATTCCAGAAACTGACAGATCCTCATAATACAGAGTTTTACACACAGGAGGAGAAATTTGCAGAGATCATTCGGGAATATGAAGTACAGTGCATGGTGAGTAGTGCATACTAATTTAGATTATTATTATATAATCCACAGCATTTTTTCTTTTATACCGGAAGTCCTTTAACAGAGAACTGGAACTCGGGACCAAAGAGACCTGCGCTGAGTCTAAAAGGGATTCTATGGTGAATTTTCAGTGACTAAACACTAAGTTTTCATGCAGTTCTCTGAAAGTAATTTTTCACTTTGACCTTTTTAAAGTAGACCTCCAACAATTTGTGCTTTTTTTTTTTTTTTGGAACCAGTGTCAGGTTGCAGTTTGCATCCAGACTAGAAACATTTACTGCTACTTGCTACCCCAATGTTGACAGACCGCAAAATCACTTTCTACACTAACAAAAGTATTTTTATTTCTCTTTTTGTCCTAATTGGAGACTGGTTTGTAATTGTTCTCTATTGGCCATCTGTATATCAAGAAATGTAATTAATATCACTGCCTAAGGATTACTGTATGTTAATTTTGCCCTAAAGAGTCTGCTTATAATCAGACCTCAGCCATAATTACTTGCAAGAAAGAGCAATAGCAGAGCACAATCATTGTGCAGCGGGAAACAAAGCCTGTATACAGAATTAACTTTCTGAAGTACAATCAAGTAGAAGAATAAAGGTTTTCAAAACATTTTAAACCGAGGGATAATGTTACCGTTAAGCTGAACGCACATGCACTAATAATATAGTCTAAAATATGTGTGTGTTTGTTCTGAGTAGAGGTGGAAATTTAAATATAATGGAATCTGTTGACTAAAAGAGAACAGACACAGACTACCTGTGTAGATTAGCTATTGATTTTATGGTTGCGTGTGGCAGTTGTAGTCCACCATGATTGGCTACAGGACTAGGACTCTAATTACGACAAAGATTGAAATAACACTACTGTTTTTATACAGGTCTTTCTTAGATATGCAGTCCACTGGCAATCACATCTGACAGAAATCTTGAATTAGGGGGCAGGGTGTAAAAATGTAGTTGTGGTTTTAGAAAAGGTGAGTGAAGCTGTGACTGTATGTCCTAGGGTCATCAGTAATGTGTGATCCACAGCATTCCTCACTGGAATCCCATAAGATAGATGGGTGCTGGTATGACCTGCGGATGGCGCCGCGTTATCACAGGAATTTCCAAAAGAAGTCACCAGCACTCCAAGGTCTGGTGTGTTCAACACCTCTTTTATTCAGACGTTCTACAGACATGGTGGCACAGCGTAAAGGCAACGTTTCGGGACCGAACATGGTCCCTTCATCAGACAAACAGTCACTGTGTCTGAATAAAGAGGCTTCAACACACTGGACCTTGGCATGCGGACGACTTCTTTTGGACATTTTTGTATGTCCTCGGGGGTGCAAGTGGCTTTCTACCGGCAGTGGGATGTCTATCACTTGATTAACGCCACTTGCATAACCTCAACAATTGTTTTCTTACTTGCACTTCTTGTTTTACAATTTTACAACACGGAGGATTTTTCAGTGATAATAAGCAGTGTTCCAACTCCAAGTTACTATGTTCCTAACACTGGAAGACAAAACACTCGTAATTGGGAATATACTTATAAAGTTTTATTTGAATAGTTTAAAAAAAAACCAAAACAATCGTGATTATCGGGGGGGAAAAAAATAATTTAGGCATAAAAGCATTTTTGATCTAATGGAAATAAAAGGTTACTAATACATATTAGCCAATATTGATTTCGCTATTTCCGTGAGTGGTGTTGATCTGCGGGTCGTTGCTCTCATGGTTCAGTCTGATGCATCATAAAGGAGTCAGCTGCGAAAATGAGAAGCAAGCAAGCAGGCAGTCTGTCATCTGTGATGAAGGCATTTAAATGACATCTTGTTAAAATCTTGGAACTAGCTTTGCTTGTGATTTAACAATATGATAATGGATTTGGAGCCAATTTATTAGGATATCTTTGACCCATGTGCTGCTAGGCAGCAGATGGTACATGTGTATTAAAAACAGTAACATACAGTAGTGATGAAGATTGTGCATTGCAGTGCCTATTGTCACATTTTCCTGTGCCATGATTTGGCGCCGGGTTTGGCCTCCTGTCTGATGTGCTCAGCTTCCTGCCAATCTGCTCTGAACCTCTTGTGTTAAATGTTCTGCTCACTCGTTGAACATTCGAGCAGCGTGTGGTTTCGCTTGGCCGGACCCTCCGTGTACTGTTTTGCCTTGAATCCTAGCGGATTGCTATTTTCCTGCTTTGTTCCCTGTGTCTTCTGTGATTCCCTTGTGCTCCCTGTGAGATCCTGCTTCCTGTGAGTTTGTCTACTTCCTGTGTGGCTGTTTGTCCTATGCAGCCCTGCTCCCCAGTGTTCTCCAGTTTGCTGTACTGTGCTGTCTCTCTGTTTCCTTGTGTCCCCATTTCTCTGTTGTTTGTACTCTTGCCCCTGTGTCCCTCATATCCTGTACTGCAGTCTGAGTACAGGCTTTGCCCTGTCTGCCTTTGTGTCCAGTGACTCTGTGCTGCAACTAGTTTTCTGAGTCTCTGCAGGTGCGCTAGAGTGCCACAACCTGGAAGGTTTCCGTCGGCCAATCATTCTGGCCATTAAAGGCTCTCTGCGCCTCTAGTGCGGCCCCGATAATGCACAGCCTCCTAGTTTTGGAGTCCTCATTTACCTGCATCCTAGGCTTTACACCACCTCGCTACTTCAACTCGCTCCGTAAGCCCCGGAGCCTACCTATCACTGTTCCCAGGTTTCCCAGATCGTGACGCCTATGTTGTACTGGTGATGTTTTAAACTGTATTTAATACAAAACCTAATTTACTAACCTGTGCCTTTTACCTTGCCCTTATTCTTTGACTTGAATATATACTTGCACTGGAACTGCTCTTCTCTTGGGAGGCAGAGAGTAAAGGTGAGCTTGTGTGGGCCTTTCTAAGGATATTGGTTTGTGTTTTTCCTGCATGGCTATTCAAGGATTGCCCTATTTCATGCACGTGATGCAGTTTTGAAAATGACATTATGGCCCGTGAGGTTGTTGTGTGTTTTTAGCTTTCATTTTTTTTATTCCATTCATATATAATAAAGTAGGTACAGCATTTGCAGCATCAAATATCAGTTTCAATCTTAAAGTACATATGTTCCTAGTTTTAGAGTAGGGCTTGGATAAACCCGTGTCAGTTTTTGTATCTTTTTTTTACTATTATTATTTTTGTGGTGTCCCATTGGTGAGATTTTGCCTTCCTTTCTTGTCCCAGTGAAACAAAGTGAATAGAAATCCTGAGGAAGGTATTCTCTCTCACATAACTCTCTCGTACATAAACCTTTCTCATTATTTTCTGTCCTGGTGGCCAACTAGAGAGTGTGAATCTATCTAAAGAAGACACCTCAATAAAAACCTGACAGGGATTCTACTCTTTTGTATACAAAACTAAAATGTTTTGTCTATAGGTATACGTTAAAGAAGCAATAGTTTTCCTTTGTTCTGTAGTTTAACACCTCTGGAGACAGTAGCGACTAAGGCAGCTTTGACACTTGGATTGGCTTTCCAAACCTAACCGAAGCCATCCATATCGTTGTCCTGCATGAGCCAGCATCTGTTTGGTACTAGAGGATAATAATATGATGGTTTATATCAGAGAGAGTATAGAGATTGACTGATGTTTATGCTGTATTGATTCTTCCTTTTATTTGTTGTGCTCACATTTAGATTTTGTTTTTAGAATTGTGCAGATCACTGTGTGTAATGGTTAATCATGGCATTCCCTATGCAGGAACTGCGTGATCGGAATGATGAACTGCAGATCCAGCTTGAAACCCTCCAATCCCAGCACAGCGAGAGTAAATATACACGCTTACTGGCTAAGATAAAGGATAACAAGTTACTGCACCACAAGACAAAAGAAAAGATCCACCACAGCCATAGTAATGCTGGTAGTATATTTATAAACCACTCTATACTGAACTGTGTTACATGTTTTCCTTGTTCTGGATCTGTAATTATTTGTTTCCGTCACAGCAGATACGCCTGCAAAAAAGGGACTGACCTCAAGGTTGAGAAGAAGCGTGTCTGCTGCAGGCTTCAATGGTAAGTTACTGTGCCTGCTCTGAATGTGTAGACTAGTGCCAGCCTTGTCTAATAAATTCAAATATAAGTCACACCAAACATACATTTTAAATAGTAAATCCTCTTTAAATGTAACATTGAAGCTTTTGCATATGTCATAATATTGTTTTAGGCTTGTCACCTGTCATGTCAGGAGCTCCTTCTATGACCATGGAGGCTGAGTTGACAAAGCATCAAGTGAAAGAACTGCAGCAAGAAATTGAAGATCTCAAAATACAACTTGAAACAAAGGTGAGAAGGACAGATTATCTGATATATTGCGGAAATATACAACATTGTGCTCTCCCTTTTTAAAATGAGTTTTACGCGTTGGATGCTTGATTCATATTTTCTCTAAATGGCAGTGGTTTTTTAATCAGGGGAGTCTCTTATGTTCAGAGGTTGACTGTAGAGACAGAGGAAAGTGTTTTACTACATTTCATCTTCCCTGCAGAGAGATGTCCTTTATATTTGTATTTTATTTAGGAAACAACTAAACCAGAGCTCAAAATTTCCACTCGCCTGCTCGCATTTTGAAGTGAGGGCGAGTGGAAATTCAGCCGGTGTATTAGGGATTACACTCTCTCGTCGAGTAACTCTTAAGGACTGGCTAGTAGTTCAGAACCTGAAATTTTGAGCCCTGAACTAAACTATAAGGGCTAGTTCACACCACAAACAGTGCATTCCGGCCCGCTTTGGAGCATTTTGTTCTGAGTGCATTGGACCGGAACACAGGTATTGACTTGCCACGTGCTCGGGAGCAGGTTGATTGTGCTGTGACTTGGGTCGTGGCTGTGGTGCCATTGACTTCAATGCACAGTCAGGCCCCCTCCCGCCCCTGAACACAGGGAGCCGACCGGGATGCGATCCAGTGCGTTTCGGCACCATATCAGCCCTGAACGCACTGTTTGTGGTGTGACCTAGCCCTCCAAGGTCAAAGCCAACCCGTCCTGGCAGGCAAAAGCTGTGACCTAATCATATATTTTGAACTCTTTTTATTTTCAATTTCACTGAAAACTAGTGGAAAACGAGCCTGCTATTTCTGTGCAATTTCTTTCTTCTATAAACATCCAAGGATGACTGTGTAAAAGAAAAAAAAACTATATAGGCATTTCTTGGTGGCAAGTTCACTGGAAATTATGTAAAATTTTAGTTTCTAGAACAGAGGTCCATTGGCCACAACTCATGTATTGCCCCGCCACTATGGCATGGATGTGCCCAGAAAATGTGTGTGCTTTAAGGGGAGGGTCATCCTGTGGATTTCACCCAACCTCTTGCTTTTGAAGTATCTGCGATTCTTCTAAATTCTTACATTGTATTGTCATTTCTAGGTCAACTATTATGAAAGGGAAGTGGAACTGATGAAAGTTAACTTTGAAAAAGAAAGGAAAGACACAGAGCAGAGCTTCAAGCTGGAAATCAGTGAACTTGAGGAGCAGAAGGCTGATCTTGAGGAACTCCATGCAAAATATCAAGAGGCGATAGATGGCTTGAAAGAACAGCTACCCAAAACTGCTCAGCTCCAGCAAATGGAGAAGAGGTTTGAGAAAGAGAGAACTGCCATGGAAGAATATTATGCAAAGGAAGTGTCTGCACTGGGCCAGCGACTATCCAGGGAGAAGGAGCAGCTAGAGGAAGATCTAAAGAGGAGCCACCAGCATGAAGTTCAGTCAATGAGGTCTGATATAACTTATTTACTCTATGGTATTCTAGAGTAGATGCTTTATGCTGGTCTTAGTGCATACACCCCATTCCTTTGCTCATGTTCAATGACTTTTCTGATTCGTACTTCTGCCTCAACCTATGCTGCTTGCTGCCGTTTTGTATTCTGTTACCCTATATGCAGCTGGACTGCAACCCTATGCATGTGTGTCACAAGAACCAGTTTTAAGGGACTTGCTTGTCATGCATGGCAGTGCTCTTTATGTGTTATGTACGTCTATATAACATATGCCTCAGTATTATTTGTAAATAACCACTAAAACTGCACTTATGGTAAGATAAATGTGAATTTTTACCACAAAATGCATGCCATTTTACTTTACATTGGATGTTGTGTTTTGTTACATCCCAGCCCTTCTGTCAGGAAAACTGGGATACACCCTAACATTTGGTGCTGGGCACTTGTCACTTATTTTATTGACAACTATTAACCTGAAAAAAATATCACCTTGCTGGAGATAAGATTTCATATTTTTACTTGCGCCATCTGGATACACTTTAAATAATTAAATGCTTTTTTAAGTTTGTAATTCCTTTTTGTCTTCCATTACTTTTTTTTGTTTTATTCTAAACCAACACCCGGGGCTCATTCTTATTGCAGTGCTGCTGTAACCCTTACAGTTTGGCTGTTGACCCGATAGTAACCACATAGCGGTATACCTGCAGTGCTGCAATGTCTTGCAAATGTAATCGTGTTGCCGAAGAGCTTATTGAGTATAGTTCTTCCAATAAATAGTGGATATGTTTTGATTGTCGGTTTCATACCCTAAGCAATATTTGTAGAAAGACCCACAGTTTTTCCTTGCTGCACACCACTGGAAATACTGCACACTGCCACTGCATTTTATGTTTTCATTTAGGAAAGGCAGAGCGCAATGTGTGGCCTCAGAGACCACTTCAGAGACTGTACCGCAGCACTGAATACTGAAAAATGGCCTGGATGGGAAGGGGGTTTAACACCGCGGATGTCAACTGGTTAAAGAAAAAATGCAGCCATATGCCCATGGCTGGTTAAAGTGTTCGTAAACCCAGACAATTAACTTCTAACCTGTTTGCATATGGTATGTAAAATATACTAGTGAAAGCATTTTGCTATATCTGTTCGATTTAGTGGGGAAAAAAAACTATTGCTCCTGTCTGAAATCCAACATAATTTCCTCTAGTGATCAGCAAATCCAGTACCTGTGCTGTACTGAAATTCCAAGTACTGTTATCAGCTCTGTCCAGTTCTGAAATCAAGAATCTAACACACTTCCTTTTGTAGGGTGACCACGCTGTTCCTGTATAGATATGTACAGTGAATAAGTGTTATGACCCTGTGTCACAGTGTGTTACTGGCAGGATCAAATGAAATCTAAAAGTCTGAACAAATAAAACTGATGCCCCCACCAGGTCTAAGAACTGTTAAGCTGCAATATATTACAGTTTTTTGTTCTGGGGTTTAGATGCACTCTTCCAGCCTATACAATAAAGCAGTACAAATTAATCGTGATATGCAGCTATCTCAAAGTAGCCTGTTAGTTTTTATCATTTGCATGCCATGAGGGCACTATACAGTAATTGTGGTGTCTCTGTCATGTCAGATAATGTGGAGTTCATAACAGTTGGACATTGTGTAACCGGCTCTCCCTTGTGCTGTGCAAGTCTGTACTGAGGGATTCTGTACCTGGGATATATACTATATCTATATACTATATCTATGATCGGTAAGCCAGCTCCATGCTAGCAGAAGAATCGGTATCGTTACTTGAAAGATAAATATCAGTACTCGTGCGTGATACCAAAAACATGGCATTGGTGCATCCCTAATATTCACAATTTTTTTGAAAGAGAATGTATAGTGGATTTTTAGTGAGCAAATAAGAGATGATATTGCAGTTCTCTCTGTCCAGCCTGTCACAGCGCTCTGACTTTATTCCATGCAATGCAGGTCCAGCAGGGAATTTTAATGTTGCTAGTTTTCCCTATGTAAACCAGGCCTCCTGTTATGGCACAAGGCAGAACTCTGACAACATGTACTGCTCTATTGGCAATCTGTTAAATATTATAAGTATTGTTTAAATTTATGGTAACATGAGAGAGATAATAGGTAAGATCTCCGTCATGATGAAAAAATGCTCATCTTTCTTTCAAAATGTATTTGTTTTGACAAAAACTTTTAAAAGTGCAACTCCGCAGGAGATTTTTAATCAGTTAGTAACATAGGATTAACCTCTTGACAATAACGTGCCTGCAGTAATGCATTGTGCAGCCGGCCTTTAAGTATACGTATAGACAAAACTTAAAGTAGTGTTAAACTCTCAAACTTATTTGCAGTAATGAATCCGGATTAAACAAATATACATTGCCCAGAAAAGTATTTCTTTATATTTTTGCTCAGACACTTACAGTCCTAATGTTTCTGAACTGCTGACTCCAACTCTCTTAGCTCAGCTGCTTCCCTGGATTTCTTGTCCAGTACAAGGTTACATCAGAGGGGGGGGGTCTTTACTTTGTGTGCCTGTGTGTTTGTGGAGACCCACACAGCTTACCAGTACACACAGGGATGGCTCCATACGACCCGATCAGGACCAGTGCTCAGGGGACCAGCTGTTTCTGCAATAAGCTAAAACTTTAATACATCAAGGAGTAATGTAATCCAATGTAAGTGATTTAATCCGCATTCAAAATAGTTTAAAAACTTTTAATAATATTTTAAACTTTTAGAGATTTGGATAGAGTAGGGGGGAGGATTAGAACCCTGCCAACTTTTTATTGCTGCCTAAATCCTTCTGGGGAGGTTCACCTTGTCACCTTTTTGTTGACGCAGAAAGTAATGGGAAATGCAAAATTTTTTCACCTGGCCCCCTTTCCTCCTGGATAATCGCAAAGCAAATGGCCCCAGGCTTAGTTTTGTGAATGGCCTGGAGGAGGGCTGACATGCGACCATAGTGCTGGCTTACAGGTAGAGTGGCCTGGAAGCACAGCGGGAGCTGCAAAAATCGGGCATGTACAAAAATCTTTTTTTAGGACTATAAAGAGAACCTCCATGAATAGAGGTTTGCCGGTGAGGCTAAGGCATGTTTACAGATATAAACCTGGAAAGGTACTCCTGTCCCGAGTTGGACTTTAACAGCAGGGTGAGGATATTTCTTTTCAGCCAAATGACTGTAATTTTCAAATCTAATTGAACTCCATTGAAAACGTCACTGTTATGAAAATAAGGATTCTTATCCTGGTGTGTTCAATTTGGGAACTGAACCTTTTCAGATGAAATTGTTGTTATATAGGCACATATAACAATTTACTGCCGTACAGCATGTATACTCTACTTCTAAAACACATTTTCCAGCATGTATGATTGATTGGCTCTGCATGTTCACATGCTTGTTTGCAATACATCATGTAGTCCGCTTATGTCTGTACTTTATATTGAAGTTTCTGTTGTGCCAGTGGAAAACCTTTACATTTTTGCTGATTGCTATAAAGTAACAGTGGACACATAGGGGGGAGTTTATCAAAACTGGAGCAGCTAAAATCTTGAGCAGATTTGCACTGCAACCAATCAGCTTCTCTGTCTCATTTTCACATCTTACCTGAGCAAACTGAAGAGAGATGCTGATTGGTTGCCATGGGCAACTGCTCCAGTTTTTATAAATTCCCCCCCCCCCATACAGACTTAATAAGGAAGTGCTAAGGGAAGAAATCCTTTGAAAACCTGCCAGAAATCATTTAAACTGGAGTCAAAGTATGTGTAAACCCAAACCCCAAATTCTTATACAAGCTTTGACAGGTTAAAGTAATTTCAAAAGTAATCGTCCATATTAAATCTACAGTTTTAATTAAAATAATGCTCCTGCCATGAAGATGTTCAAGCACTTTCTGATATAGGGTGACAATGCTCTGTGCTTGTATCCCTGTGTATGTCAGCTTGTCGCGTGAGTTTCTGATACACACTATGCAGTTGTACAGGCACGGCCCACTGTTGTCATCAGAAAACCTGCCCTGAGAAATGCCATGCAGACATCACTGAAGGGCATGCATATAGACGGGAAGTGTCCGTAAAGAGCACGGAAAAATTTAACAGCACTGGGATGCAAGAAAGGATTAAAAAAGGGAGAAAAGTAGTACTTTATTTAAAGAATACTCCGGGTAAAAGTGGGGCTTCCCCCTGCACTGCAAAAGGTAAGTGTTTGTTTTGGTCTAGGGAGGAAAATACAGCCTCAGATCCAGCCGCCTGTGACAGCAATCCCTCCTGCCTTTCTCCTCCTGTGCTGTAGTGATGGATGTCCCTTTGCATCCTCATGTCTTATACACTGGGTGTTGGACGTGATGGTTTACAGGGCCTTAGACAGCTGCAGCGGAGGGGGAGAGAGACTAAAGGGACCAGTCTGAAAGCAAGCCGGCTCCGAGGATCAGGTGAGTATAACATTATTTGCTTCCCTAGACAATAACGAGCACTTATTTTATTTTTTAAAAATTGTACCCGTCCTGCTTTAAACAAAAATGGTAATTGTTTATGGTACACTTCAGTTAGGGTTTCAATGTATTTAGTTGCTATGGGTTACTGTGTTCTGTAGTCATTTTACTTTGCACTTCCTTATGAAATAAGTATGCTGTATTAATCACTGTTTAGGAGTAGACATGTGTTACTGAGGAGAGACAAAAATCCTGCTTATTTCTGGTTGGTTAAATCCCGCAGCAGATTAAAAGCAACAAGGAATGCAGTAATGTATGTGGTATTATATGTGAAATGTTTACTGCTCTCTAAATACTATTTACACTGAGCTGTTCTCTTTATAAGTGACGCTAAGTTTTGTTTTTTGCTACTGGATACAGATGGTCAGGGACGGCTTTCTTAGCCAATGTTGGATTCAATAAAGTTTTCTTAAGGCATGATCTGGAAAATGCATGTATAATGATATTTAATTCAGGTGAACATCCATTTATCTATAGGAAAGAGGCAGAGGAAGAACTTGCTGAGAAACTGGCACAGATTGAATCCCAGTATACAGAGTATTGCCAGTCTTTAATACAACAGCACCTACAGGAAAAGAATGAACTCTTACAAAATCATGAGCTGGAAAAGGAGACCTTAATACAGGATCACATGGATGAGATTCGTCGATGGCAAGAAAAAGAGAGGGTGTTAATGGCGGAATTGAAAAATGATCAGAAAAACCTGGTAGAGAAACAAAATGAGGAACAAACGGGTATTTGTAAAACGTTCGCTATTGAGAAGGAAATGCTGGAAAGCTATTACAGAGATCACATTAATAGGCTTAACCATGAAATTGAGGGTTTGAATGCACTTGTGGTAAAAGCTAAGAACTCTCAGCTAATCAAGAAAAAAGAGCAGCAGTCTTCAGTGACAAGACACTGTGATCATTGTACAAAGGGGAACGAAGGACAGCAGTTATTTCCTCTACAGGTGGGAGGTACAGAGCACAAACATCAAATGATGGACAATACAAATAACACGCCACAGAACCAAAGTCATTCTGCAGCTTTATACATAGAACACAAGCAGGTCTTGTCTGCTGTAGAGGTGTTGGAAGAAGCACAGTCTTTAAAACAAGCACAGGATTATGTATTGATGACACTCCAAGAGATGGAGAGCTTGGTAGCTTCTTTGAGAGCACAGCTGCATGAAGAAACAAAGGCTAAAGAGACTCTTGTGATGCACCAGAAAGCAGATGATGAAGAACAAATACATCTAAACGACCAATCAAAAAAAAGAGAAGATGAAAGCCTATTGTGTAGGGACAAATCAAAAGACCTGACCTTTCAGTTGCTTGAAGTCAATGCGCCTGTCATAAACCTGGAATCGGCACTTCAGATGCTTGACAGAGAGAAAGAAGAGCTGGAGAAACAGGTGGCGGTGTTAGCAGGCCATATCGGCTTGGAATACAAGCTGATGAGGGATAAAGGACTCGAGCAGGAGCTAGGTAGAGATTGCACACCGAAAAGCGCATGCCGTCCCCTAAGCAGAACTGTCAAAGAGCTTGCTGATGATAATCTCCCACAATGCCAGCAGCTGATGAATAAGGACAACATACTAAACCTCCTACACAGGCATCTCAGCGGAGCAAAGAGTCAGTGCCAGCAGATGGAACAGCTAGCAGCCAAACAAATCCAGGAAGCCACCGAACAGCTGCAGAAAGAGAAGGACTATGTCAAAGACAAGCTTTTTGAGCTAGAAGACTTGGTACGGAGGCTAGAGCAAGAAACCTTGTCAAGTCAGGATGACAGGTTAGACGATGGATTTTTTTTTTCCATTCAAACTGCACTGAATGAGCACCTGATACACTACTAACCCACCACTGACATTTTGATTTAGCTTGATCAAACCTGCAGAAGGAGTTATAAATGTGTGTAATATCCTTACTGGTTTTTTTCAGGTCACTAAGAATTTGTTTTTGCAGGGTCATTTTCCACTGTTCATTGGGGACAAATATGAAAGCAAAGTACAAAAATGAAATTAGATTTCCCTTTTTATTTTATTTTTCACATTCCTAAATGTACCATTTAACCATTTATTCATTTACCATTTAAACATTTACCAATGGCAGTATATTTAATTTTGTGCATTTGCAATTTCATTTACCATAGGATGCACTGTTCTTTCCTTTCATGTACTCTTCACTGTTTTGACCACTGATCATACTAACAAAAGTTCAGAATTGAATTGCAATTAGTGACATAAACAGACATTTCTTAGTGTTTTATCTTGCTATGCTTTTTATGTTTATTATGCAACTGTTTAACATTGTATTGATATATTGGGGCTCATTTACAGTCATAGGTAGCATATAGTTTCAATTGAAAATGTCAAACGTTGCTGTTTACTGGAAATCGTTTGGTTAAAAGAGAACTATGGGGTAAGTGTTTTTCCCCAAAGTTCTCCTCAGGGTCACGGGAGGACATAAACTAGCGTCCTTCCGTGACCCTGAGGAGAGCTATGGGGGAAAAACACTTTTTCAGTTTCATTGTCACACGTCGGCTCAAACTATGAGGTTGAGTGAAAATCACTCACCTCATCGTTCTTCTTTAATGATTCATTATTTAAGCAATGCTTTTAATGAACGCGCTCTTTTAGTTGTTTCAGGATGGTGTAAAGCTTGTTAAAAGATAAAACCTCATTATTTAGATCAGTGGTCTACAATTGGGGTCTTACGAGCCACATGCAGCTCTCTGATCCCTCTGTAGCTGCTCATGTTTTCCAGTTGGCAGGTATTCTGTACCAAACTGTTGGCCATCTACATATTCACTTGCTGTATACTTACCACACTTACTATATTACTCTATAGTCAGTGTTGCTTTGTAACATTGCAAAATAATACATCATACTGGTGATAATCATAATATAAATGTATGTTGGTGTTCATTGAAACATTTCAAACAGCAGACTGCAGTTCCCTGTCTTAACATCCTCTGAAGTTCTAATGTGGCAGTCCCAGGGAAAACATTGTTCAAAAATATTTAAAAGTATTTGGTGGAGTAGTAAAATTCAAGCCAAGACACTGAACTAGGAATTAAAGCTTAAATATACATTCAAGTACCATAACTAATAATACAAATGTATCTTCATTGAGTATCACTCCACTGTAGACAGTTAAATCATCTCTGAATTGGTGCTGACACTGTCCTTCCTTCTGGAGGGTGACTACTTTTGTTCCTCATCGTCCCTGTGTGTCTTGTAAAGTAGCCACCGCTCCAAGCATACTCCTGTGATGGACTAGAATCTTGCATTTAGGTTACTAATTTGTATTGAGATTTTAGTCCCTCACGGGACTGGCATGGCCAGGAATCGGGCCTGGGATACTGGTCACAGGGAGTGTACGGACACTTGGGATATAGGGACAGGGTAACGGCACGTTTTCGTGGGTGTGCTATTGGCGCAGAATCTAAGGGGCGCCATGTTTTCTTCAGAGTGTCTGATGGGGGGATGTTGCGCTCCCAGGTTGCGGCCCTCTAACTCAGCCGTGCAGACACAGCTACAGGTTAAACTGAGAAATAGCTGTGCAGGGACACCTGGTACAAAAATAAACAGGGAAGAGACTAATTCCACCCAAGGAACATGATACTTGTGTGCGGTAGGATACAGTGCAAGATACACACAGGGAATGTGCATTACACTGGGGTGCAGGATTCACAGGAGGGTACACACACGAGACGTGTGTCCATGGAGGTACAGGATTTAGTGTCAGGAACACATGGGTAATACACAGTGTGTGCATTGCAGAAGGTGCAGGATGCACAGGAAGATGCATGCAAGAGTTGTGCATACACAGGGGTTCAGGATTCAGTGGCAGGAGCACACAGGGAGTGTGTGTACCTGAAGGTACAGGATGCACAGGAAGATAAACGCAGGAGATGTGCGTACACAGGGGTTCAGTATTCAGTGTCAGGAACACAAAGGGAGTGTGTGTAGCAGAAGGTGTAGGATGCACCAAAAAATGCACACGGGATGTGCGTAGGAACACACAGGGTGTGTGCATGGAAGAAGGTGAAGGATGCACAGATTACAGGATCACAAGGGAACACAAACAGCACTGCTGAACAGAAAACACACAGCAGGCTGATGCACAAAAGAAGTAGGTAGATAGGGAAGAGTAGACACTCAGAAGATGGAGAGAGGGAACACTAAATCAGGGCAGACAGTGCAAACAAGCTCACAGCACTCAGGTGAATGCAAAGGAGAAAACGCTGTCAATAGCAGGAACTCACTGAGAACACAGAGAGAATAAAGTATAGGAGAAAACATAGTGGGAAATACACAGGTACATAGAAGGCACAGGACTCCTGGGAAGCATGGAAAACACAGAGATCCTGGGAAGCACAGGCAGACTCGGAAGCAGAGGAACACTCCTATATAAGAGAGGCCTCGAGAAACGAGAAGGAAGGTAACTAGGAACACAGGGGGTCAGGCAGCTAGTATACAGATTTGTTGCTCGAACCACGAGCAACAAGTGAACTGGTTCTATAAGGGAGAGGCCAAGAGTAGATTGTCTGCAGGCCTGCAACCTGCAATAGGCTGGAAGCCAAGCACCTTGGACAGGGAAAACATGGCATGGAAACAGGACCGAGGGTAATACCCAGCCTGGGTACCAGGTAAGTGTGGTGACCTTTGATCGCATTCAGGAATAATTTTGTAAAGCAATAATCCCTTTATTGTAAATCTTTTATATGTGACCATCTCACAGCTGGGTAACCTGCTGTATTCATCTATCTGTAAATATGCTAGGGTCTCTAAGGTTAGGTGTGCCGCTTCAGGTTCATATGGACCGGGGTGTCCGACGTGTGTAATTAAGAAGACAAAAGAAAAGGGAAGCCCCAACAACCAAAAACCAAAATCTTTTTGGTTGTTGGCGCTTCCCCTGTCCTTTTTGTCTTTCTAATGAGCTTATTGTCAGAGCATTCAGGAAGAACAACAGTGAGCATCAGTGGCATCGCTGACTCTCACGCTAAATCTCCTGAGACTAGCAGTCCGAGTGCCTTAGATCTGAAACTGTAGATACGAATATGAGACTGTAGGCGCCCTCACATAGCCGGAAGCACACTGCAATGTTTCAGGAGGATTTCAAAACAAAAGGTAATGTTTTTCAGAGTACTGCCACGGCATGATTGCCATTTCTAACTGTTCCAAATAACAAAGCAAATCTTCGTTTTTAAATTTTAGGCTCATGTTTGCTCTTGTTGACTAATATACCACTTTCTGTTTATATCTAGTGATGATAATGTTCATTCTCTGCTCTCGTTGCTTAGGATGGAACTGACTAGGCTTTCTGAAGATAACACATTCCTCAGGACCAAGGCTGACCGGCTCCAACAAGATCTCAGTAAAATGGATGACACCAACAAGCAATACAGGTAATAACTATGTATTACAATAATGTTTAATTCAAAAGGTTAATATAATTGGGCAGTAATTATTTTCTTGTAACTAGATTTGGTAGACAATAATGTAATTGTTGCCATGTTGAGCTCTGCTGTTTTTTAAGGGGGTTTAACACCGCGGATGTCAACTGGTTAAAGGAGAACTATGGGGTGAGTGAGTTACACTGAAATTGTCACATGTCGGCTCTATTGATCGGGAAGTTAGCGAAAATATATCGCCACTCGCGCAATAGCCTGTTATATACTGAGTTTTGGGTCACGGGAGGATGTTAGTATATGTCCTCCCGTGACCCTAAATAGAACTATGGGGGAAAAAAGGTCACCCCATAGTTCTCTTTTAAGTAATTGATTCTGAAAGGGAATTTAAGGAACAGTTTTCCTATAATATATATTTTTTATTTATTTGTCTTTTCATGCTTTCATTCTGTTCTTGATACGTTACATTACTTTGCCGTGTCCTGGATCTTCAGTATTTATTGTTTTTTAACGCTAAGCACATGCTATAAGCTTGAGACCCTGCCATAGGAGCACCTGTAGCAGCTTAACTGCTACAGGTATAAAGTGAAAGCACCTAGAGTTATTCCAAAACAAGGAGACTACTTTACATCTTGCAGCAGTATTTTTTTTAATGGTGTGTCCGCATGATGTTTTATGAGCCTTTGCAGGGGGCCAAGGGGTCCCCTGCACAGTGGCATCTTCACATACGGGCAAGTGTAAAAATTGTGTCCAAAAGTGCATTTCGTTAAATCTCAGCAAGGCAAAGGTGGGTGTGGTTAAATATTTCTAAGCCTGACATACTAGGAACATATAAACCTGCCAAAGCAGCATTTAAACACTTCCACAATCACCAGCATAATCCAAGGTAGTGTAGTCAGCCAGACAGAACCCTGTACTAGGTTAGACGGAAGACCGTTGATTTAGAAAGGGAACATACTTATATGGACATTATGTATCAGCGGCAATCCCCTCCATATAATTAACATTATGACACCACCTCAGCAATGGAATGAAGTCATGCAAACAGAATGTGAACCAGACTAAGGGATGGCCCTTAATCTACCCTTTTTATTGGAACCTATGAGGTTACACCTGCCACAATGTTCCCTGCACAACATTGCACTGGGTTAGCACTGATATGTATTAATTGATTTATGTTCCTTTGCTAAAAATGTCAATGTTGCTGACATTTATTGTGCTTTATTTCCTTCATGTAGAACTCAACTTGAGGATTTGAGGAAAGAAAGAGAGTGCCTCCAGGACAAACTGGAACAATTAAACAAAAAGGTGAAGAACACAAACTGATCCTTGGTTACAAAATTGTAAAAAGTTACTTTCACTTAAAACTAACTTTCGCTGTATGTTTATTGGAGAACACAGCAGATCACTCAGGTATATCCCCTGCCCCTACAAGGGTGGGCACAAAAGGATGTTCACCAATGAACATCCCACCCTTCTGTTCTGGTTTCAAGGCTGTTGGCATTGCCTGTGTTGGCTTTCTCTGTATGATACATATGTGTGTACATTTTAGCTTAAAGTGATTCATATTTTACTCTTCTTGCTGCTTCATGTAACAGTACCTGTGCATATAGGCTGTTGGAAGCCCTGTTACCGGTCTCTAGCAATCTAGGTGTCGGCTATGAAAACTCAGTATAAGAACCCACTTTGACTACTTTCACTTTCTTTCTTAATGCCTCTCTTCTGCTTTGGCTGTAATTCTTTTTTTGTATGCTGACTGACCTCCACTAATAAAAAATAAAAAAGTCCCAGCCAGTTGGGAAAGGAGGGGTGATATTGTTTCCAGACAGACTGTGTCAAATTCGACTTTACCTTCAAAAGTCTTTATTCTAGGCTCTGTTTTCACATGTTATCTAGGGATTGTTAGAGAACTGTGACATGAGGAAGGGAACCACAGAAAGCTTAATCCAGAGGAAGGGAACCACAGAAAGCTTAATCCAGCTTTTATGCAAAGGCAATATTTGATGGGATAACCAGAGAAATAGCACTGAGCTCTGTAAACTGGATTTTTACAACATAAGATTTTAAGAGAGCGTTTAAGATGAAATTGTAAAACGTGGAAAGGAGAAAAGGGGTCAACCTGCTGACTAAAAAAGTAATATGCAATAGTTCATATTTACCAAACAATGTTATATAGTCCTAGCCCTAATAAATGAAGAAAATATATTCTAAACCACCATACATTCCTTTTTAACTTTATTCGCCAAGTCAGGAACCTTAAAACTGCACGAAGGGTCAACTTTCTGTTTAGATTGAAAAGCCACCATTAATGTCTTGGGGTTTATAAGTATTTCTAAGGTCAATTCCTTTCTCTTTCAGTACCAGGACTACCAGATTGAGTTCTCACAATCAAATGTACAGCATGAGGAGACAGTTCTTCATCTTAACACCAAGCTTCAGGAGGTCACTGAACAGCAGGATAAAGCTAACGTTGTCCTAGAGCAACTGCAGGGAATGATTACTGCTCTGGAGACTGAGAAACATGAACAGCAAATGGTCTGGAAAAGAGAAAGAGACGATTTAGAACAAGAACTGCAGAAAATAAAGCAAGAGGTAAAGCCACACTCTCTATTAGGTTAACAGAATTAAGACTGCAATAGAGAAAAGAGGTGGCAAAGCAGCTGGGATTGGTCAGTGTAACTTGCTTGAGGGAGGGAAGAGGACGAGGTTCATAAGGGCTAGGAGCAAGGCAATTGAATTCAGGTATAGACCTCTTTGTTAACTATTTGCATATGTTTTTTTGATCAGAATGAGAAATACTGGGATGAACTTTGCCAGATGAACACACAGAGCCTTCAGTTGACAAGCACCTTATCTGATCTCACTGCACAGAGAGAGGAGAGCTATGGCACCGTACAGCAAATGAATGGTAGACTCAGAGAGTCGATTGAAGAAAAGCATCAAGCATCTGCACTTGTAGAGCAGCTCCAGGGAAAGCTTATAGAGCTAAAGAGAGAGAACCTTCAGACTGAGGCTGTATGGCAGAGGGATAAAGAACAGCTTGAAAGTGACTTGCAAATGTGCAAACAGGAGGTATGCTTTTCAATATATTACATATTATGATATGACCTATCATTAAGCTGCAAATCATCTCACTTAGACATCACCTAACATTAAAATTCAATTGAAATTTCAGGTTAAGTTAGTGAAATACATTCCATGTGCATCAAAACAAAAGGTGTCCAAAGTCTTAAAGTTAATTTACCTTTAAAAAGCAGGCACATCTTGTGTAGAAAAGCCTTATTACCATTCTGTAGAGAAGGCTAATTGCATAACATTTGGGGTATCCCCAAGCACTCTGGAGGGATTTATTTCTAATGCATTTTATTATATTGTTTTTAAACACTTTTCACTTCATTTTATTACTATCACGAGGAGGTATAATAGCCCCCTATGTGATAGCAATATTTTCTTGAAAGGTTCACTTTATGGAGAAATCAGGAATCTTAAAGACCCTTGATGCGTCCTCTGAGGACAAGCAGATCAAGGACAAAGCGTCACCAGACTACAGCTGGCCAGAAACTGATACCTGTGAAGCGAGCAGTGCTCAGAGCTGAGCACTTCTTGGTTCAATGTACTGAGGATTGACTACCTAATCACCGATTTTGTAGTCTTGGGCTCACTTATGGTGCAGGAGAACAGCTTGTTTTAACCCATTGATTGCCATAATGTGTAGGACATGTCAAAGGGTTAAAGATGAACTCCAGGCAGATATTTATAAAACAGCAATGATTGCAGTTGTGTATCGATTGAAAAAATATTTAAAACTCAACTGGCATATATAGCTTGGATTTCAGTCTTTAGTGATTCCCTCTACAGCAGCACTCAGACTGGGAAAGAGAGGTACAGTATTAGGAGTCAGGTGTCTGTATTCTTGTGTGATGACAAGGACAATGCTGACAGGAGGAGAGATGACCTCATCAGTCTGTTTCTGCTCTTTCACTATCCAGTCACAAGCTGCCAACAGGGAGGTGGTCCAACTGTGTTGCTTAACTGCTGTAAACGTCAGGTCACCAGCCTAGCTGTTGTGTGGAGGGGCTGTCTTGGACTTTATATTTTTCTGTTTGCTGTAACCTATACACTATGACAAAATATTAGAACAATGAAATAAAACAATCACATGTACTAACCCGCAGCAACCAAGCAGAATCATCTTTCACCAAATACCAAATTACATTACATGATTTGGGTTACTGCACAGCAGTTAGTGCTGCAACTAACGATTTTTTTCATAATCGATTAGTTTGCCAATTTTATTTTTTAGATTAATCGGATTTAAGAATAAAAAAATAAATACCATCTTTTATTTAAAATAAAAGACAGAAATGGGGTGTTATAAACATAATATTATATATATGTGTGTGTATATAGCCCAGTCATCAATCAGTTTAGTGTCAGCCATATTGGCAGTAGAAATTTTGCTCTCACTTTGGCGCACGCAGTTTTACCTGACGTGTAGCGTAATCATCATACGTAGATGCACCTGACTTTCGTTAGTATGCGCGGGGGTTGGGGAACCTACCTTTTTTGGGGGGGGTATTTTTAATTTTCACATATAGCACATTGGAGGTGACAGGTTCTCTTTTTAAGGTGACATTAGGGGGTTCTATTAAACCCCTAGTGTAACCTTTCCGCTTCATAAAAGCTATTCATGCACATGGCGCTTGAATAGCTTTGGTGGGTAAAGGACTGGCCTCCGGCAGCAAGACTCCGCAGTCAGCAGCTGAATGTGAACAGAACAAGCAGTGGGTAGGTGCAATAGCCGGTCTGCTATTGACAATTTCAAATTGCAGTAGCCAATAGCAGGCTGGCTATGCACCTACCTGCTGTCAATCAGCAGAGGAGGGACCTGAAGGAGCAAGTTCTCCTCACAGCTGGGCAACCAGCTGCATGGGTCATATAAAACACCAGGTCCCAGCATGGATGAGAGAACTATGAGATCCAATCAACTAATTGATAATGAGAATCGTTGACAACTATTCTCATTATCAGTTATTATTATTAGATTAATCGATTAGTTAGTTGCAGCCCTAACAGCGGTGCTTTAAATTCCTGTTAAATATTACCCATTTGTACTGCAAAACATGTAGTTAGCGCAGGGCACAGATAGTGTTAACTTGAAAAAAGCATGTACATAATTATGTGTACCTCATCTGCAGAATCTTCAGACCCATAATGAGTTATGTCAGCTGACCAGCGCGGTGTCTCAACTAAAGATTCAGAACAAGGATGGCCAGGAGAACATTCAGCACTTTGAAAGTAGGCTGAAAGAGGTCTCCAAGCAGAAGGAAGAGGCCACAGCAACCACAGAGAGAGTTCAAAGCCAGCTTCATTTATTAGAGAGAGAGAAGACTGATTGGTGCCAGGCTAGAGAACAACTGGAACAAGATCTGCAACTATCTAAAGCTAAGGTACTCCTTGTCTCAATGACAACCAACTAAAATTAACCTTTAAAGCCCAACTCCTTTTTTTTGGTTTTATATAGAGTGTGAAGGGATAGAACTTCTTTCAGGTTTGTATCTGCAGTCTGTGCCGCTGTCGGGTGCGAGTCTTTTTCTGAAATCTCTCCAGGAAAGACATGGACTTCAACAAACGGCTGAGGACCTCTGTCAGATCATAACCATCTGTGTTTTCCTGTGATAATGGCAAACCATTTACCGTCATTTATTTGTCCTGGTGTCCTGGGACAGGAAGTGAATTTTAATCTCCCAAATAGAGTTATGAACAGCAATAAAAACTTGAGAATAGTTATTCTTTCTGCATCTATCCAAAACTAAAAATAAAAGTCAGAGTTGGGCTTTAACATTGTGATTATCTGGACAAATCTGAAAGGACTAAAGAAGATAAAGACATTTACATGAAATGAACTGCATGTCGGTTTTCCTTCTCTGTTTAAAATAGATTGAAGCTCTGTTTCTTCAACACAAGCAGGAAAAACAAGATCTTCTAAATGGGTTAGATAAGAGCAACAAACAGGTCAGTTTTTTACAAACTTTGCACTATTGAATCATGGTCTACATTTTTATCTGGACTTGACCACTTTCATTTTCCTATATCACATATAGAATTCTAACACTCAATCATTTGTGATACTGCATGTAGTCTGGGGCTGGCCAGGCACTACCAGTAAATTCCTAGAACTGGTAGTGATATAGTACAGCATTTGGATTTAGAAAGGGGTGACAGCAAAAAAAAGGCTCTACTTTGTTGTTTGCTGGAATTTTCCGTGATTTCTCACACATTTCTTTAAAGGAGAACTATGGGGTTAAGGCTTTTCCCCATAGTTCTCCTTAGGGCAACGGGAGGACACAAACTAGCGTCCTCCCGTCACCCTATGCTCAGTATACCGCAAGCTGTAGCTCGCGGTATACTGAGACGCCGCAGCTGAAGCGGATCCCGACAATTATGCCGGGATCCGCCCAGCTGCGTGAGTGACAGCTGGCTCTGCCTATCTAGAGGCAGAGCCAGCTGTACCTGCCCCCTCCCCCGTCCGTTCCTCCAGTCAGCGCTGGTGGAGCGGGGAGGGGGGGGGCGAACGCCGGTATGTGTTCGCTCACCTCCCGATCTACTAAGCCGACCTGTGACAGTCTCATTGTCACCGGTCGGCTAGAACTATGAGGTGAGTGAAAAGCACTCACCTCATAGTTCTCCTTTAAAGCACTGGTGAATGATCGTTGATCGGCCCATGCACTGAAAAGTAGTTATACTAAGTTAGAAGGAAAAGTTGGACTGGATAGATAGATTTTATTGTTGTGAGGCCTCAACAAATCAGTCTGGTTATGTCAATAATCATTAAAGAGTCTTTTTAAGAGTAGATTTTATAACACTTATAATTGCTTGCAGAATATTTTTTTGTATTAGTGTTAATAAAATTACATTTTTCTTTCAAAATTCAGTCAGCTATAATTTTCTAAAGCTGGCAGAAAAAAAAATGAAAGTGGCTTTCTTGTATGGGGGAATTGTGGACTCTGCTGGATCAATTTCTGAGAAAACTTTTTTTAGATGTGCTACAGAACATAACCAGAACATCCAACTTTTTCAAGTCTTAGTTCATATCCTTAATTTTATGTTATCTGACACCAACATCCCTTAAATGACATAGAGAATCATTTTAGGGTTATTTGGGATTTTGGGGTGTCCCAGTGAGAGCATGCACATAAGCGAGCTTGAAGCGGTGGCTATTTTACAACACACACAGGGACCATGGAGAACAAAAGTAGCCACTCTCCGGAAGGAAGGACAGTGTCGGCACCAAATCAGAGATGATTTGAGGATCTACAGCCGAGTGACACACAAATAAGATACATTTGTTATAAAATTATAGTCAGCATGAATTCAGAGATTTGAGGATCTACAGACGAGTAATACACAAGTAAGATACATTTTTGTTAATAGTTAAGGCATTTTTAAGATTTAGCTCATGTGTTTAGTGTCACTTAAGCTGGCCATACACTAGTAAATTTCCGAACAAAAGATCTTTCTTTACCACCCGATAATGCCATCAGAGACTTGGCGAATGTCGAACAAATTTTTTTTTTATTTTCAAGTGAATGGAGTTTCGCGAATGAAAACCACATACACGGTTAGAATTTCGTTTGTTGAAGAAAAATGTTCCATCCTGCTCCTTCGCCTTTTTTCCTTTTTTTCTAAAGAGGCCCTAATGATCTTTTACAGCTCTTGGTTGTGGCTGCACTTCAAGAAGAAGTATCATCTTTAAAGCATATAAAGCAGTCTCTGGAAGAAGAGTGTCAGTCTGTTACCAGATTACTGAAAGAAGCCACAGACAAGGTAAAATGAATGAGTGCACGCTGAATAAACACCTGTATATACGTAATGAAGGCCATTCGAAGGTTTAAGAACAGTATTGCAAGATGGGTTTCTGTACACTACCACAGGGTGTCTTGCATCAGAGAATGAAAAAACTGATTGTTGTATATAGAAAAAACACAGCTTTTCCCTTATTTTAGGACTGTGTTTGTTTTGTAATAACTGAACAGGTGAGTCAAACAGAAGGGCTGAAGGTTGAATTAAAAGAAGCTCAGGAGGAATGTCAGACTCTAAGGAGAACCCAGGATCAATTAAGAGCAGAAATGGAGGCGTCTCAGGATCAGGTAAAGTCATTGTTTCACTCCAAGTTACACCTGAGGTATTTGGTATTGTATATTAAGACAAGTGTAGCACTCACCCCCTAAGGGTCTCCTTAGGCTCCTAGACTGTCTAGGGTACATAGACTATCTAGGGTACATAGTTCCAAAGCTGCCCCAAAGTACTTGGCAATGCACAGGACACCTATGGTCTTGTAGACACCAGAATAGAGAACAACGTACCTACAACCTTCACAGATAAAGTGCCTTTAATCTAGCCTGTTAATTCTTGTACTGAGCTCCTGGCTGTAAGATACTGGGTATTGCAGCTACCTACTCCTCGAGGAGAAATCGCCATTCCCAGGCTTCTCAAACTAGACTTTGAACCCAGGCCATAATGCAAGCACATGGTCACCCACCTCAAGCAGCAGACCTAGGAGGATCAAACAATCCACAGCATCCCTCCACCATGCAGGAGGTCTAGGGGGGAAGACTGACTTCCCAGGGTCACTCCCCAAATATGTATATCCTCTTCCAGCATGCACCACTACCAATAAACCTCCTAGTCGTTGTCCAGGTAGGTACAAACTTCCTTAGCTCTGATTAGTGCACTATTGCTAGGGTCACTCCTCCGCAGCAGCAGGCAAAAGCAAATGATCACCAGAGCTTAGGAGAGACTTCAGAAAGCCACACTATCAATCTGAGTCCGAGTGACTACAGCCTGAAAACTTCTAAACCTAAATAGACATTCCAGCTTAGGGCAAGATGGCTCCCCAAGAATACAGAGGATGTGTAGCAGCCCATCAGAAACCCTGAAATGAAATATAATTTATTATTATGGGTCCTTAAACTAGCCAAATATCTCTAGTAGTGGTTGCATTGTAATTGTGTAGCCTTATGAGTGCTTGTAATTGCTGAGTAACTTAGTGACACTAAACTCAGGCGTTAAATCCTAAAAATACATTCAAGTACCTTAACTATTAACAGAAATGTATCTTATTTGTGTATCTCTCGGCTGTAGATGCTCAAATCATCTCTGAATTGGCGCTGACACTGTCCTTCCTTCTGGAGGGTGGCTACTTTTGTTCTCCATGGTCCCCGTGTGTGTTGTAAAGTAGCCACCGCTCTAAGTTCCCTTCCAAGATAGTACAAATGAGTAAAATAAACGTGAGATTGCAGTCTATCGCAGGAGCAAGCTTGGAGCGGTGACTACTTTACAACACACACAGGGACTATGGGGACAATAGTAGCCACCCTCCAGAAAGAAAGACAAGCACCAATTCAGAGATGATTTGAGAATTTACAGCCGAGTGATACACAAATAAGATAACTTTTTTATACAATTATAGTTAAGATACATTTTTGTTGGGTACTTCAATACATTTTTAAGGTTTAACTCCTGAGTTTAGTGTCACTGTAATGTTGTTGTTTGTATGATGGTTAGACTGCCTGCATTGGTATTGATTTTTGGTGTACAACGTATATATCTGTTGTGTATATGTGTGCAGTCTCTGTTCATGATTTTGTCTTTGTAAAGCTACTGGAAGCCAACAGCAAGCTGACCCTTGCACAGTCACAACAAATGCGGGAAGTCCAGCAATGGAAGGAGAAGGTGAGCAGTTCTGTCCCTAAGGAACAGCTGTCACATCTGCAGAGCAGACTGTTGGAAGAGCAGCAGAAGGTCCAGCAGCTCCAAGAGCGATTGAGGTTTCATGCAGAGCAGACCAATCGACAACTGGCAATGCAACAGGTACATCAGAGGTGCATGCAGTACATATAACTCGCTATATTTACTTAGCATATTTATGAAATACAAAATAGTGTGATTTTTTTAGTACTCTGTCTACATAATAAAGCCACATTTTTATTTTTTACTGTGCACATAAATACACCACGCTGACATGTTTTACAAACCAGTGACTGGCCATGCTGCCCCGTTCTAAAGTAATCTCTCCAAGGGGTGTTAAAATCCCTTATTGGTTGAACTTAATGCAGGCTGAATGAAGAAAATCAACAGATTCCCCCATCTACGCTGTTTAGGGGTAAAAACTAAAAGGCAGGATGGCAGCCGATTGTTCACAAGGTATATACAACAGTGCAGTGGCGTAACAATCGCCATAGCGACCCAGGTTGCAGCTATGGGGCACAGGGGGACCCGCCCAGGACATCCCCCTGCTGCCATGCTGGCCGCCTGGGTCGCTATGGCATCTCAGGCTGCTGGCTGTTGCTGGCGGGTGTGAGGAGCAACGTGTCACTGTTAGATCACCAACAACCTGTCAGCGATCTGTGCAGCGGCGTGTTCCTCCTCACAGCCGCTGCTGTGTCAGTAATAGCCAGCAGCTGCGGAAAAGAATGCTGGGCCCAGCATCGGCAATGGAGGAGGCGGGGCCAGGTGACATAAGAAGAGGTGGGGCCAGGCGATGGAAGAGAAGACAGGGCCCGCCAGCGACCGTGCAGGAGGCGGACAGCGGATTGGGGCTGACAGGTAAGAGGTGTGCAGGGGTGTGACCAGCCCACCTGAGACCCTGCAGAGCCCACCATAGTCTACGGTGGGCTCTGCAGGGTCACTCTCAGGTAAGCTATGTGGGATCTCAAGTGGGATCTGCGAGGGGCGTAACTAGAAATCACAGGGCCCTGTGATTTCTAGTTACACCCCTGCAACAGTGCCCAGATGACTTGATAATGGCACTTGTACATTTACAAACCAGCTTTCAGTAGTGTGCGCCTTTAACTGCATTGAAGCTAGCCATAGGGAACCATGTGTATACTCGCACATTCATTTATAATGTTCCTGCAGGAGGAACATGAGAGGCTGCTGCGGAGGATGGAGGAACGGATGCAGGAGGTAGAAATTAATCTAAAGAATGTGCGCATCATGCTGCGGGAAAAAGTGGACCAGCTAAAGGAACAGGTAAGTGTACCAGTGCATTCTGGGAAGTGTGAAAGTTATCCTGGACTGTTCATGCAATGGTCTTACAGCTTACAGCAACTAACTGTTTTAATCCATGTGAGCATGGCAAAATATTTATGGAATGTTCTGTTTTAGGAAGTCATTTGCAAAAGGCTATAAGTTCATTTTGTGCTGAAAAAGTTTGCTTGTTATGCAAATCCTACTGTGCAGTGCATGCAAGGACATGTGCTGTTCACCCTTGTCAATGCAATGTCCCTTTTTAGTTGGTATAGAACAGCAGGGTATGTTCTAAATGTACTGAGTCTATTTAAAGTGTAACTAGTATAGTCATTTGTAGTCCATTCATGTAAGGATATCAAAGGAACACACATGTAAAAGTGCCCGAAGAAAAAACAGATTGTATTGCTTATAGCAACTAATCGGATTACTTCTGAAGCTTATTTCTGAAGTTTTTAATACAGTACAAGCAAAAAAAGTTTGAAATTGGATGGAAAACAATACGAGCCCTTCATTCAGACACTTACATGCTGAAGCAGAATTACTCCATCAGTAGCTTTCTAGGGCATATTCAACAAGTACACATAGTTATATATGAGGGCAAATCTGATTTTAATTGGTGCATTATAATATTGATAATGTTGTAACTATATCCTTAGCAGACCATACTACTTCTATGGTGCCCAAAGCTGTCTGGCTGAATGGTGTCTAATGCATGAGGCCAATATCTTTTGTATCTCGCCAAGTCTCTTCCTAGGTGTGGCCAGCATAGCTTGTCAGTAGCTTCCTGTGGAATATTCACTAACAGTCTTTGGTGCTGCAGATGCTTGTCATTGTTTAGCATGTGCTTAAAGTGGAACTTCAGAAATGATCTTTTATGCATACTTACATTGGCCTAGTTTGGCTTAATGTAAGTATCTGATATCTGGAGGGCTGCTGGTAAATGAAAATTGTGACATCATCCATCCCTCCTTTCCAACTTATCCAATCAGAGAACGCCTTGTATTAATTGAAGAAAATACAAGGCGTTCTCTGAATAGCAGTGGTGCCAGGTGAGCAACTCCCTGTGCTCAAAAGCGCTTATCCCAGCACATCGCAGTTTTTTGTTTTTTTTTGTAAGAACTTTATCTTGCGTTGGGGTTCCCCTGGAAACAATGGCCAGTGCAGCTCCAATGTAGATAGTGTGAATGGGCCCTTACATTGCCCTATAACATTAGGACTCTTGTTATTAGTCCATTGTGTTTTATATGATGTGACTGCATCCCGTGTTTATGGAGTTGTTCTATCGTGTACATATATTTTGAGACATTAAAAACTACTTTTATTAAGCAGCCAAGAGGTATTTAATCACAATCTATTGTGATATTGGCACCCTATGTAATGGATATTTTCGCATACTCTTTGGTTACTGATTGGTGTGCTTACCTCAATTAATCCATTCAATGACTTTATTCACCTCTGTATTTTAAACAGCTGGAGAAGAATGCAAAATCGGATTTCTTGCTGAAGGATCTATATGTGGAAAATGCCCATCTGATGAAGGCTCTGCAGGTGACAGAGCAGAGACAGAAGAGTGCAGAGAAGAAGAACCATGTCCTGGAGGATAAGATTGCAGCACTGAACAAAGTTGTTAGAAAAATTGCACCTGCCTCTCTGGCAGTCTAATGCTGGATTTGCACTGAGAGACTGACAGGAACTGAACGTTTAGCAGTCAGTGAGTCAGTGTCACTTCATCCCCAGCCTTTGTCAGCATAAGGGATCTCAGGATGGCTTTTACAGCAGCACCTTAAGTGCCCAGAGACATGAGATGACTGTGTGAATGGTCCAGCCACTGAATCCTACTCGTTTAAACATGATTGCTTGTTTCAGCCAAGAGTGCATGTGTTTGGCATTCCACACGCATGCCTGGTTTATGGGGAGAACAATGTTGAATAATGCTTCCTCTATTAGATTGGCTGCCAGACATTGTAGGACACAGAGCACCCATAGCAGTATAAACATTCCCTCATCGGATGTACTTGGCCCTCTTTGTTACCTATCATCTCATGTCTGTGGGCAACTTTAATTCCAGTTGTACAGAGAAGTTAATAATAAACAGGAGTAATGTGTGATGAGCTGAACATATTTACTAATAACTAGACAATCCCATAAGTCAGCCACGAACACTTAACGGGGGCCCTTTATCTAATTCAGGCAATGCAGCCATACAGTTTCACGTGCTACCAACGGCAGTACTTCTGATGCCTTTTTTCTGTCTACAACCCGCCCACCTGTAGTTATATATTCCATCCACATTCTGCCTCTGTATAATCTTTGGAGAATAGACTCTATAGACATGTATGCTCTTCTGTATCATTCAACCTGCATCTTGCTGTAGGTCTTGTTGGTGGTTTGTTGCTATTACACAATGGGCACCAATGATGAGGTTAAGGGTTTTTCCTGGACACAAGGGGCAGCAAGATAAAGACATTACCGTTATGTTTTAGTTTTGAGGGAAAACCTAAATCGTATACCTCTTTATCCTAGGTCTCTCCATAATCACATCGCCATCCAAACTGCAGTCTTTGCAGCTGGGTGATAATTGCAAGGCTTTTAGAAGGACAGCAGTTAATTAACTGATCCAACATAGATGAGAAGGCTCTCACTGCTACCCTGTTAAGAATTTCTTTTTTGACCACCACAATAATTGGCCTAGGGCCAGATTAAGAGCTCCATTGGCGTGGTGCTGTCGCATGGATGGGAAGCAGCAATGGCGGCTCTCTAATTAAGCGGACACTCGCTCCTTTGCTGGGGCCTTGCAGGGCAGCTGCCTAATATGAGTGTTTAGAAAGCCACCAACCGGCCCGGATTGCCATCTGGCATACCGAGGCGTCCTGGGCCAGCTGGGCCTATTTTAAGTGGTGGACCTGGAACTGGTACTCCAGTAGCCCCTGCGTTAATCCAGTCCTGCCCATGCCAGTCTGCCATTAATTGTATGTATGTGCTGGAACACATCCAAATGACTGGCTTACCACCAGCATAAGGACCAAATATTACTTGAGACATGTACATGAAGCTGCTGAGATCTGTTACAATGTTATTACCTGATGGTGGCTGCTGTGCAGTCTGTTGGAATATATTTTGTATATAGCATTTTTATATGTGACTGTTACACTACAAACCAGGAAATTGCTGAAAGACTGTGTAAATAAGCAAACCGCAAAGTATAAAATGTCCAATGTCGTAGCAACCAACCAGATCTAATCCTCCTCTAATATCACTATTTGTATTGCTTACTACAGGTTAGTCCACATTGCACATTATGATTACTTCAGCATGTTTTGTAGGCATTGATAATCCATGGCACCATTGGCTCGTATGTACAAGGTTTCTTTTCATATAAAAATGTGTCCGATGTTGTTTAAAGCAAACCTGTCATAAGAGCAATATACACACTGCCATTGCTAGCCTCTCTTTGTGAAAATGCTACTTGCCTAACTGTCATGCAGTACTCTGAGTCACTGACCCCTTAGAAGTAATGCATTTTGACTTTTCTTACTTGAATATGTGGCATTATTGTTCTGTGACTCAGAAGTCGCTAGCTGTGTCTACTTCAATAACTGGCATTTTTCAGAATTGGGCCAGAATGACGGCCATAATATTTCTCCCATGACAGGATTGTTTCTTGACAGCAGAAGGCATTCAACAATCTTTAGAGGTCCAGTTCCATGTCTTCTTTTTTTATCCTGTTTTATGCTTTTTATACTTTTTTGGTCATGGTACAATTCACAGTGTTAGAAACCTAAATAATACTTTTTTTTTTATTGCACTGAATCTGGTAAACCAGCATTTAATAAGAGATCCAATTGCTTTTTCTGTCCGAAGAAGTGATTGCTTCATGCAGTGCTTTAAATACATTTACAAGACCTGGGGATTCTGTTTCACAGTTAACATGGGGCTCCATGGATACAAGTGATTTGGAAGCACTGTTATAATGCATTTTACTTGTAGTTTAAAGCCCTGTGTGTATAAGACCTGTACAGTCAGTGCAGTTATTGTAGAATGTAAAAAGCTGATCTGTCGATGATTTTGTATCTCATTTTAGCACAGTAACAGGTTACTGATTAGGATTTTGGGGTGCATGTTAGTAAGGGCTTGTGTTAATGGCTTTTGAGATCATTCAGAATTCCTTGACAGATGCATTTGACCTGCAGATGGACTCCTCACTTGCTTCTAGCTGGTTTTGCATTCCCGTAAACTTGTATGGGAATGCAAAACCCATCGGCACAAGCCCTCTCTTAGGAATGGTCTTTAGCAATGTTGGTTAATGACTTGTGTTCGGCCTTGGACACTACATGTAAGTCCACCCAAACTGATGTTTTAGTATTGGGAGAGGCCGTAGAGTTAAAGGATATCTAAACCCAAGAACTAAAATGTTAAGTATTGCAGGTTCCCAGTCCTTACATGCGATGGCTGCATTAGTTCGCTTTTCTTCAGGCCAAGTACATTTTTCTGCAAGCACTGATAAATGTGTGTTGATCTTGCCAGAAATCTTGTGCCTTTGTAAATTCTTGTGCACTGAACTGAAATATTAAACAGTCTACCCAGCTATCTTTTGTGAACTACAAAGCAACACCCCTCTGTGTTATGAAGACAAGGGGAGCCCAAATCATAACAGCAGCCGAGGGTAACAATACTGCAAGTGCTTTCACCATGGGAAGTATGTTACTGTCAGGATCACCCTGTGGTGATAAGGAGATAAAGCCTGAAGAAAGAAAATGAATGCAGCCACCCCATCGAAGGACTGGTAAGCTGCAACATATTAGTTTTTTGGATTGAGATACATTTAAAACTACCTGACAGTTCCTGTCTCTCTATTGGTGAGATATCTCTGTTTAAGTCCCTGGGTCTGCACACCTGCTGGATTTGCATATATGTTTTATAGTATGGGGAATTCGGCACGTTGAGCTGGAACACGCATGTCCCAGATAGACAGAAATACAGTTAGGATTTGTGGCAGGGAAGTCTTGCTGTTGCAGTATCCCAGACATATTAGAATCCTGACCCGGTCAACAAGGCTATGCCAATATCCCAAATATCACTTTGTGTGGACACACCCTTTTAATGAGTCTCCACTAGATTCCACCAGGGAAAGGCTTTTCATGCTCAGTGCCCATACAATTCTTGTTTTATTCATCCTCAATTCTTTTTCTAGTAGTACTGAACGTTCATATTTTACTGTTGTAAGTCTGATATCATCATTTTGGTCTTTTTATTACAATAGCGCGTGGCTTAGAACATTCCCAGGAACAAGGGACTAAAGGGCTGATTATGAAAATGGGAACAAAGAAATAATAGAACCATTACAGTAGTCAATGCTCAGTCTATATTCCAGAAAGTACAACTGGAAGACTGAGCATGGCCTTTGTCTGCCCATAATGGCACAGACTAGATGTTACATATTCCATGAATCACTACAAAGAGTCTTTGTAAAGGTGCTTCGTTTTTGTATATAGCATTTTATACTTTTTATTCTTACACGACAAACCTGGAAATTGCTGAAAGACTCTAAATAAGCAAACAGCAAAGTATAAAATGTCCAATGTCGTAGCAACCGACCAGATCTAAATAGCATTGTTTGGCACAAATGACCACCTATATTGAAGTTGGCAAACAGGCTTGGGATGAGACACTATTATAGCCCATAAAGCACAGTTCTAGAAGGACTTGTTGGTTTTCAGTCCCGTTTTTATAGTACTGAGAGAGACAATAAGGGAGGGTGGATGAACAAAACCAAAAGATCACTGATAATATTGAACCTTCCAATAAATGAAATCAAAACGGATATAAGGAACGTATTACCATAGTGAAAAGACGACATCCACCAGCAGCCCTTGTGGTCACTAAAACACAAAGTGGCTAGTCACAAAACGGCATCCAATGGGAGATGGGCAGGCTTGGGTGGACCTGGTTGTATTCTAAAGTCAGGCCCTCCAGGTCACAGCTAGAGGCAACATGACACATGAGCGATAGTTGGGATCTTTTTATCTGCAATGTTTTCCAGGTGCCACCCTGTGTACGGTGTGTTGCAGATGTTAACATTATTTTATTTCTCTTCTCTTCCTTTTTTAGGATTTTTTTTTCTTTTGTATTTTATCCTTCACATCAATTTCCTTTTAAAGTAGCAAATATGGATGCATACAGTACATTTCTATATCACAATCTGCCTCATAACATAGAGAAATGTCTTGACTCTTTGTAGCATTATTTTAGGTACTTCCGTTGGGCATCTAGATAGCAGTGACAGGATGAGGGTAACAGCATTTAGCTCAGATTACTTGAATACATTGCATTTTTATGACTGGTTAGGCTGCCCCCCAAAACTGAAATTTACATTTTGAGCAGACTGTGCTGGGTGGAATCGCTTACTGGCCTCTCAGGAATTCCAATGGAAAAATTAGGGTTTGGACATTCCTAACACTAACCTATTACTGGTCAAGGTGAAGCGAAGTGAAAGGTCTGTCACTGCTCCTGTTTTAGGCTGGGTTCACAGCTAGGCGTTTTTCTACGCTTTCGTACTCGCGGAAAAACGCTCAAACAGGGAAATGCCATTATTTTCAATGTGCATGGTTCCCATCTGGGCGGTTTTCCGCGAGTACGAACGTGCGGGAAACCGCCCTACGCCCAAAGAAGTACATGTACTTCTTTGGGGCGTTTTGGTCGGGCGGTTCCATTGGGATACAGCCAAGTATCCCTCGGAAACACGCGGTTTCGCGGTAAAAAACCCGCGCGAAAAACGTGCATATTCAATCCGCCTAGGTGTGAACCCAGCCTTACTGTCCATAAAGTAGCATTCATAAACAATTCAGCTCAGTGGGTGAGACTGGATGGTCTGGTCCCAGTGTAGTTTTAAAATAAAGCAAAATGTGGTACTGGTAATTTATTTTTACTTTGTGATGGACAATGTCAAAGCATCTGTAAATTAACATATGTCTCTCCTTGAGCAGGGCATTGTGTTGTGATTTTATCTATAATATGTATAGTTTTGTAAATGAATTGTCTCTTTATATTTATACAGCACAGATACCAAAGTGAGAACTATGGCATATCCATGACTGTGGGCAATGTATGAAAACTTTAGTTTAATGGAAAGTTGTGTTTTGGTAACATCACAATAAAGATCATTTTTTGAATAGCTTCTGTGCCACTCTTGTGTTTATCAGCTTAATGCTATTGTACGAGTAGTGCCATTTATACGGAGCTATAAGAGCCTAGATGGCTTATAGAAGCTATAGGAGAGGAAGATTGAGGGCGTTTCTTACCCTTCTTACGGAGATTTTATCTGTCACATTATTTCTCAATCCCCTAACTACAGAAGAATCACTTTTTGTGGGAAGAAGAATCCATATACAATAAAGCTGTGCAGAAGCAGTCACTGCTAAAGATTTATTGGTTTTAGACAAAGCAATGGCAACACAATCGTCACCTTTGGTCATTTCTACCTTACAGATAAAACACACAGACACCAGAGCAGACACATTGTTAGATGTTCCAGCACAGTTGATCCTCCACTCGGGAGTAGCTATAACAGGAAATGTACCTTTAAATAGCACTGTATCCCTAGAATACTCACGACCGCGACCAGTGTGCGGTATTAGGAGAAGAATAGAAAAAACCTCTGCCACTTCTCACAGCAGATATCCAGATAACATTGCAGAGCCTATAGGACAGGGTTAGGCAACCTTGGCTCTCCAGCTGTGCTGAAACTACAAATCGCATCATGCTTCTGCCTCTGGGAGTCATGCCTGTGGCTTGCAATGCATTATGGGATTTGTAGTTTCAGCACAGCTGGAGAGCCGAGGTTGCCTACCCCTGCTATAGGAGATCTAGAGCAGAATCTGTCCCCGGCTCCTTCTTTACTCGGAGTCTGCTTCTCAATACAAAAACAAAAATGTCCCAGCACACTCACCAGCCAGCCTGCAAAAAAAATGACACGGTCGAACTATTAGGGTTAAAAACAGAGGTTTTAATTGGACAACTTTTGCAAAGTATGTGGGAGCCACAATGCCTCATCAAGGCCTCTGTGTATCATGCGGTACTAACTAATCTATGAGGGCCTCCATCTTGGAGCATACACAGCAAAGGATAAATTAGGTGCCAGGAGGTAGGCCAATTCTCCTTAAAGGCGCAGGGACACACTGGAAGCCCAGCACATCACAATGGCAGCTGAAGCCGCCAGTGTCCCCACACCAAATCCAACAAGTGAAATGAATGGTTCTCCTTAGTGTCACAGATGTCTCACAGCTGTGTGAAATGTGGAGGGAGGAGAGTGAAGGTAATGCGTGTATTCTGACTAGAGGTGGGGGGACTTGCTGCTGGCCGGCTCAAACACAGCTATGCTGAGGGAGTGCGAGCGGGCGCATGCACAGTAAAAAGCAAGTGCAGTACATGGTTTTTTTCTAACGGCGGGAAAGAAAAAAAAGAGAAAAAAAACCAGTGCAAAAATACAAGCAATAGTCCACAGATTTAGTAAAAAGGAGGGATAGTCCCAGCCCCCTGCAGGGAGAAAATACTTGGTTACAGTACTCAACCTCCACAGTCCTGGGTCCAACATAAAAGGAATCTCCAGACAAAACTGATCTGACCACAAATGGTAGCTATAATACCTCACCAGATAGGAACATAGGACCATTGCAGGAAGTATCCACAGCACGGTGACTGGGAAGTAGTGCTTGACCAATATGGATTTTTCCTAACTGATACCAATTATGGGTCACCTTTGAGGCCGATAACCAATATCTGGTGGATAGATTCTCTGTGCATGCTCAATGTTCACAGAGCTCAGGAGGCCAGGGCAGCAAGGACCCCATGTGTGGAGTTTGTAAGAGTCAGATGGGCCTAGATGCCCAAGGAGTCCAAGGTTATTTCTCTGCAATCTCTTTTCTAGGTCAGGGGTGGGCAAGCTTTGGCCCTCCAGCTGTGGTGCAACACATTCCATTAGGCATTGCAAGACTGACAACTACAGGCATGGCTCCAAGAGGTAGATGCATGCTGGGATTTGTACTTCACCACAGCTGGAGGGCCAGTTTGCCTACCCTTGTTCTAGGTCCTTGATTTTGTCCATCAAGGTGCATTGCTGTTTTATTTTGTAGCTTCACCACAGCTGGAGGGCCAGAGTTGGTCTACCCTTGTTCTAGGTCCTTGATTTTGTCCAAGGTGCATTGCTTTTTTATTTTGTAGCTGTTGAAAGTCCATGGTGCTCAACGCCTGCTCTGCATTCTATAGCGGCAATGGTGTCCTAGAGCTCTCAGAAATGGCGAGATAAGCTCACAGGGGGAGGGGGTCTGGTTTGAGATTTGCTGCTACTTGTTGAAAGTCAAATGCTAACAGAGAGCTGAGCCATGGAGAGTAGCATGGTTGTAGCCGTCGTCTTTGCCAAGCATGCATGTGCTTTTGGTGGTCAGGATGTTGTGCTTCAGTAGTGGGGTTTTGAAGACAAACCACTTGCGTGTTCATTAGCTACGGCTGTTGACTGGGTTGCACCAGGTCTTGATGAATGGTTGCAGAATTTTGGCTAGCCAAAACTCAGGAAGCTAGTGCCTGGTCACATCAGGTACCGGAAACACAAATTACTTTCACAAAAAAAGCCAGGGCCCTGAACATTTCCCAGCTGCTATAGCAGCCAGGAGTCTTTACCTGCTGACACCTCTGACGCCATTACGCCAGCAGCAGAGAAGGGGTTAAAGGAAACCTGTACCGGATAAAATATAAAGACTGTTTTATTCCTCGTTGCCATTCAATACTGTACTTGATGTATGCTTGTTTGAGTGAAGTAATAAAGTCTGAATGCCTGATCAGTATTCTTGTTCTATGTCAGTGACTCAGAAATGATTGAATGAGCATTGCAGCCAGTCATCAGCACTGACCCCCACCCCCGATCCTTACCCCTCCCCCAAATGCCACAGCCCCAAGCAAACTTTACGTCACAACTCTGAGTGTTAAAGATGTTCTCCACGCGTCAGGTCTTGGACCTGGCAGTGCACTGTGGGCAGAAAAGGAGGGTCACATGCAACACATAGCTAAAAGTACCAGGTATTTGCAAGGGTTTCCCTTCACTTCTGGTCTGGAAACCTCCAAAGCGAGGGGAAATCCCCCGTCTAGACAGCCGACACTGGAACATGTGTTCCTATTGGAAGATTTCCCTTCAGTTGTTCTGATGAGAACATTTTGGATATCACTTTGTGTCCTGGTGACAATGAGCACTAGGATAAATCGATGGTGAATCTCCCAGTAGGAACACAATAAAAACCTGTCAGAAGTTCCAACCCTTCTCTGATATAAAAAAAAAGTATTTCTTTAACTAAAAATTGCAATGCTGGTGAAGCACATGCACCTTCGTTCTCCCACCAGCGGGACTTGTACAATCCACTTTAAGAAGTGTGTGGTCATGGATTCCTCTCTTCTATATTGTATGATTCAGAAGGAAAACATCAGTACCGAAGTGTCAGGTAAGCAGCAAAGGAATGGACTGGCAGTATCCTATGGTGGGATGTTGAATGTTTTCCTTGGAAAGGTGACTTAAAAGAAAACAGACACCACAAGACACCAATCACAAATTAATGTTTATTAAAGTACAAATCCATATTTACAAAGTATATAATACAGGTCTAATTAATAGGAAAAGGCCGCACATCTCTATGACAACACATGCTCCAGAACGCCTTGTCGGATCAGCTGCTCACATTTCCATCTTGGCAGAAAATGCTGTAGGGGAAAAAAAAAAAACACCCATTAAATACCAGAATCATAAACCAGAATCTAACACCGTTATTAAAATGCCGACAGAAAGGAAAATGTACTTAGCCGAAAAGCTTCAAAACATACCAAACTTAACCATGACATAGGCCAGATTTACGATGTGTGTCCATAGCATTGTGGAGCAATGAAAACAATACAGTGCCTCGTGAAAGTATTCACCCCCCTTGGTGGGAGGGTCTTGTTTTTTTTACAATGCAATTGATTGT